TTCCCGTTCTAGCTCAGCCGAAAAGAATACCCCTCGATATTTGTATGCAGAGACACATTGAAGAGGATTGTTATTTACATGATAAGAAAAACAAATTGGCAAAAGTTTTCTAGAAAAAGTCTACCACACACATTTGCTAATATTCAGTGGCAATTGCCAAGTCGCCCGCCATTCAGAAACGCTCTATAGAGAATGGTTAAGCACCAGCTGATCATGTCAATTTTTCACTTCTCTAAACAAAAATACTACAGTCATTAGCATAAAATCGCATGTCTAAATCAACAAACTTTTTGATGAAAAGAAATAAAAGCAGCTCCAACAGAGGTCTCCGGGGGACACCAAACAAAAACATCCCATTAAAGAAAACAAAAAAATGACGAGCCGTTAAGTTATCTTCAAGTCAGGAAGTAATCTTCGAATTATTTAGGATATGTGACAACTTTAAAGGGTAACTGCGAAGAAAAAAAGATTTTTTATTTTAAACAGCCTAATTGGGACAAGCATGTCAAAAAACAATTTCTCCGTGAGAAAAAAAACATTTTACAGCAATATTTATTGCGCGAGACTGATTTTAGTTTGCGGCTATTTCCTCTGTTCCAAGTCACGCGCCACGAAGTTGGGGTTCCGTGACGTCTAGCTCCAGTTGGCTGCTATACTTTTCATTGGCTAAGAGTTTGATTGACAGCTTAGATATTGGTTGTTAAACCTTTGTTATATGTTGTAATTTCCTTTTGAGCAGCATATTTTTATGTTTAAAGAATAACCCATGTAATGAGAATTATTATTTTTTCACAAAATGTTTACAAGACGGGCCCCTTCCGTTTGGATTCATACCATAACAAACAAAAGCTTCACCATTCTTTCATGGCCGCCGATGTCTCTGCTCCTGCCCGTCTCGCCTACCTCGACTAGTCGTTCTGCCGAAGTGATCAGTGTTTCGTGTTGACCCTGGTGCTTGAGTGAGACTTCCTGAAGTGAAGTACCGTAGTGCGTGTTTAGCAGCTGTCACCAGTGTCACCGATAGGAAGCGACGCGGGGCTTTGGCTTTCATAGCGCGGTTTGTTAGTTTCGTTTTCCTCTTCGCTTTCTTAGCACATATTTTTTTTTTTTTTTGCTTGCACATGCAAATGTTGACTTTTTGAAAATGTCAGCTCTTGCAAAACGGTGCCCTTGCTCTGTAAAGTGCTGCGAGATGAGTGATCGCGACAGCGAGTCTTCCAGCTGCCGTGTCGCCTTGAAAGATCACAAGCTCAATGCTATTTGGCTGCAGGCAATTGGGCGTTCGCGTAGCGACAAACGAGTCCCAGGTGTGTTCTCGTCATTTCACTCAGGAGGCCTTCGAGATTCGCACCGGGTGCATCGAACGTTTGCGACTGAGACAGCTGTCCGCAGAAGCCTTCGGACGTCCGAATTCCGCTTTAAACTACAAATCTTCCCTTTTTTTTTTCTCTCGGCTTTTTAATTATTTTACGTAAAGTTGTTTGAACTGAATGTGTACTGTTATCGTAAACCTTGGCTTCTGATTACGCCTTTGTAAATCATCTTATTCGTTTTGCTGGAGAGACGCAAACGACGGGCATAACAAAATCATTTGCATATTCCGCATACCTCGCAAAAGAACTTACCCAGTCATCTTCTGAAACACGGAGTCTGCACCGTCCTGACTTCCCAGTCTTTTCCCTGCTTTAGAGCAGTTCGTACCTGCTCGTAGGTATGCCTACTGCAACTGCAACTTGGGGCAGTGCCAGAGAGCAAAGAGACAATGTTCGGAAAGCTTGGTCGCCCTCCCCAATTTCTGAACTCTCAAGTGATTGGACCATAATAAATGCACCAATGCCTCTTCCCAAAATAAAGAAAAAGCACTATGTTCACTACGTAAAAAATGGTCTCAATTCATGCATCTGTGGGCAGGTAAGAAATCTTGCCCAAATTTATTCACACCACATGGTGAGCACTACATACTCGCACGAGATTACAGGAAAATATCTGTGGTGACTTAATTTTCCCTGAAATTCTGTATACCCAGTCGTTTGCAGGACCGATTCATCTACTCGAGCAGTGCGCGTCGTTGTGCAAATGCAGTCTAACAACACCAAGCGCAAAAACGGCAGATTTAGGACAACAATCCGAAGTCAATTGTTCAATTAAAATGACGTAATTTTGTTGAAAACGCCCCGCAGCTTTTTACTCACGGTATGCGTCGGGAATCTTCCACATTTTGAAATGAAACGAAAAAAGATTACTTTTAAGAATGTTCGCTGCCACAGCTCGCTACGCCTTATCGGACCAGCTGGACTGGATCAATTGACAACGACGGGACTGAACCCGTTGAACGTGAACCCCACAACAACCAATTTGCGCTTCGGGTTAGTGTGGGTTTCTACTTCCAAGCCCCGCACCACACACCACGAACGTTTAAGTTCTTTGTCGCACTGAGTTGTCGCACCAAACAGAACGAGATCGCCGAAGTCAACGCAGCGCTGTCGTGAATGTTGGCATGTGGTTGCGCACTCGTGGACCCTGTGACTCCCTTCGCTTTCAAAGCACACACGACGATTACGAATGATACTTTCCGTCTTCCGAGAACATCTCAGGGGCACTTCTCAGGTCACGTCTTCGCTACATGTGCTCGCAAACAGCGGAGGTTTCTCACATCCCGTCAAACCAAAACAATACCGCCGCCATTTTGAACGTGCGTTGTTGCAAGATTTTCACCGACCAAACAAATACAACGAAAGCAAACCGGCGCTACCTTCCAGCGTACATCGACGACACCCCCCCCCCCCGCCCCCCTGATCCGCGGCCGGAAGTCAAGACGCCGCATACTCCGCAGCCAAGTCAATCCAAGAGAATCCAAGAGTGAGGGGCGGGACATACTTCTCCTTCGCGTGGGTCGAAAGAGCGGGAGTTTCAAATGTGGACAGGTTGTGACTCCTACTAAATTACATCCTTTGGCGTAATATGGATAAAAAAAATATTTGTTTTCGCGGAAGATTTGTTTTGCAACATGCTTGTCCCAATTAAGCTGTTTCAAAAAACACTTTTTTTCTTTACAGCTACCCTTTAACAGAAGTTTAAGATCTGAAACAGTCAAATGCTTTCGAGTAATCAATGAATATACTAATGTCGACTTGTCCCTGTCAGTTAATCTCATGAGTTGTTTCAATCTGTTGCAAAGTGGTTGAAAGGCTGTGTTAAAAGCCACGTTTGGCCATGACAGAAGTTATGGTTTTAAAAAAAAAGATAGAGTGTGTTTAAATACAATATGGTTCTAGACACTTAGCGCACGACCACAGAAGTAATATGGGCCTATAAATGTTCACCGAAAATGTGTCTCCCAATTTGTAGACAGGAATGACCTCAGCAATCCTTCCACTGCCAAGGAATGGCGGCCTCTCATTAGAATCGCTTAAGCAAAACAAAACAAAACAAAAATCTTAATCACCATTCAGCATGTCATTTTAAGAATGTGCTACGAATATTATCAGGACACTGATTTTTTTATTATCAAGGTTCAGTAGCAAAAATAAAATGATTTCAATAGACACTTCAATCTCATGAATGCACAACTCTGTGACCAATCGAGTAGTGAAAGAGGCACCACTCTCTTCCGCGAAAGCGGAGCCGAAATACCGACAAAAACATGAGCCCATTTTGAGAGGATCTCAGATGAGCTCGAGAAAAATGAGTTTGTGGTCGAATATTCCTTTTTCAAGACAAGTTGCCATTATTAGCGAGTTGCTTGGGGATGAAAAGTAAATCTCGGACGTTTTCCGTATTACCTTTTATTTGAGTAAGGCTATTGACTAGCTGAGCAATATTATGTCCAAAAGCAGTTTGAACTAGTAAGTCAGATTCCTGACAATTGGAAGACAGTGGGTCATGCTGAACCAGTCGATGAGTGGGAGATTACAATCCCCAGTCAAACATGCCGACAAACCAGGTCCCAACGTAAAATTGACACAACTGGCCAACTGGTCAAGGAAGAAAATATCAGCTCCAGAAGGGCGGTACACGGTGCCAGTAATTATGGGTCCATAAAACTTGCTATCAAAGAAGCCTTATACGCTTACGTCAAAGATGTTTCTCGAAATAAGTTACCAACAGCTTGCTCTTTCCCACGCAAGCATGGGAAGATCTGGTATATCGAAAACCAGATGTTCACAATCACAGAATGCCTAGCCATAACGACTGAAGTTAGCTACTTTTTACGACCACCTCCTTTCCCGTGAAAAAAAAAATCAAAATAAATAGAAGTAACTTACAAGTACTGTAAACAGCTTAATTTTTGCGAGGACCTAATTTTCACGAAATTCGCGAATCGCCTACAATTCGCAAAAAGTAGGTCCCGTGAACAATTCCAGTGAAATGTTAAGAGATTGAAATCTATATTGAAATCCCATTGAATTGCGAAAATTAGAACCCGCACTGCAATTATTCCAAAAAACTTCAGCTTTCACCTAAATTGCGAAATACTAAGCCCAGCAAAAAATACTGGTTACAGCACCTTAAGAAGCAAGTATAAGTTTGTTGAAAAAAGTGTCTAGGTCAGAATACTAAACACCGACTTTCAAAAGTATTTATAAGATACAAAGTGACTCCTAACACCTAACAGTGTTTAACATAAAGTAACTTGAGTGTTATTTATTAGCGGGTACGAATGCAGCGTCATTGAGTACGCAAATACCTTTGATACTGAGAGGGTTTGCACACCGGAGTAAACTCACATCCTTGGGGCTTCCCTCTCCACTCCCTAGTTTATCGGTTCCTAGGAGCCTCTAGGCAGCGCAGCATGCATCCAAAGTCACGCGCTCCACCGTTCACACTTCATTCGTGCCCAATACCACAAATGTGAAAGCAGTTGGAATGTGATCACAACTAGAGATTTCAAAGCAACCTTGAATCGTACGAGATGACGAACAACAAGATAGCGGCTGCAACTAAGGTGACAGAAATTTAAGGCAAGTTTAAAGACCCAGGAGACATGAAAGAAGACTTGCCTTCCCCAGATGCTCCGCACTTCGGGACCGACCAGCGACGAGTACATCTCATCCTCTACTTCGTCCTCGTTTGTCAGCTCGGCCGACGACTGGCTCTCACGTGCGGGGGATGCCTCTGCTCGCACATATAAAAAAAAAAGAACAAAGCCACGAAATCGTCACGGAACAAGTCATCTCATGTTTTTGCCGCTTCTAGAGTTAATCCTCGTGTCCACACGATTCGACTCTGGCCTCCCGACATATACGCGTGTTGAGCAAGTTATTAGAGGAAACTAGTACGCAATTCTGTTGCTTAGACGCCACAACTGAGAATCAAGTTGACAGAGGTGTTAGAAATATGCTCGCTTAGAGCCTTCTGCGACTTAACTCGCTCGGAAATTACCGTATTTACTCGCATATTGGTCGATACGTCGTATAGGTCGACCCCCTAACTTCGGGACCCCCGAAAAAAAAAAAAAAGTTGAAAAATATAATACCGGGATTCGCGTATTGGTCGACCCCCCAGTTTTGATGAGGCGATTTTTGAAAAACAGGTCGACCTATACGCGAGTAAATACGGTAGTGTGTCATGCAAAATGCCAATATTGAATGACTATGTAACGATCCACTACTTCACATTGAGTCATCTCCGGAAAAATGAGTGGGCACATGCATAGTTTAGGAAACTGGACAAGTTGTATGAATGCCCACGCAAGATAATAGCCCTCAATGCAAGGTGTACTAAAATCAAATTATACACAACCGAGTAAGCGTGCAAATTTCCCCCTTCCTGACATGCCCCCTCCCAAAGTAAAAAAAAAAAAAAAAAATCCACAATTCCAAATAAGACAAAATACAGAGTGGGCAAAGCTCCAAGCTGACAGCAAGTAAGACTTATTATTAAGAAAAGAAAGAAGCAGGAACTGTGAGCCAGAAAGAGGTCAGAACTCGCGCTTCATTTCCCTGAACGGTAATCAGTTTGATTGCTGCACAATGGCACCCCGGAAACCCAGATACACCAATTTGTCGCTTGGGCACCCAAGCGAAGAAAGTCAGGGTCGAAACCAGTATCTGCGCTCCAAAATGACACTAAAGTCACAGTCACGTCTGGCCGTGTTTACGGCAACTAGTAAAGCCCCAGCGCTGTAAACTGACATCAACACCGTCCTGTTTGCAGATTGACAATAAATCCTTTGTTTATGTCTTTGTGTAACTTAAAAACTGCCGTCAATCTAAAATCAGTCTAATGAGCAGCTCCTAAACAGTTCCAGAACGATATCTAGAGAACACTGCTTTCCCATTTATTAAAAAAAAAGCATCATGTAAGATTTCCATGTTTACCTTTTGAAGCAGACCTTAAATAGTTTGTGGTTGTATAGCATTACAACTGAATTATTTTAGACAATTAGAAAACATCTTGTTACTTGCAACTGCCCTCTTCCGCCCCCCCCCCCCCTCCCCCAAATTTCCTTTAACAGAGATACACCTTAAGATGCAGTATACTTATGCGATGTAGCGTCATTACGGTGGGCCTTGGTGACCGCGATGTGCCTTATCAACAAGAGACTTCAGATAAAAAAAAAAAGGGGGAAGCAATATTAGACGCTTAGCATGTGCGCGATAAGCATTACGCTGAACAGCGTCTGCAAGCTTAGCTGGCGAAGTCGTGAAATCTCCGATAAGGAAATGGCTCTAGGAAGAAATTCAAGCGTCAGCGAAAGAAAAAGACAAAAAAAGAAAGAAATCACAAAGCGTCAAATAAAAAGCGCGCGTGCCAAAAAAAAAAGTTTCCCCTTCGCAATTGACGCCGCGCTCTCAAGGAGGGATAAAATAACGCAACTGGAACTCAGCCTTGGTTTCCTTGTGCACCCCCCCCCCCCCCCCAAAAAAAAAAAAAGCAGTCTTTTTTTAACGTCCTCGATATTCTTATTTTACCGCAATTCCCTTTCCCTATTCTTGTATTTCCTAACTCCAAACTCGACGACCTTTGAAAAAAAAGCATAGAAATAAACAAAACAAAAATCTAATGTCTCCACTGTCTGGCTTTTCAACGAGAGCTCAGAAGAAAACACAAAACAGGAGACTAGACGCAGTCCGATCAAGCTGACGCGCACGAACGAACCCCACGAAGCCGTCAGGCACGGGAATAAAAAAGATAAAAAATACTGCGCGATCGTTGTCACTACCCCCCAACGAACCAACGTTATGCTGACAGCAAAGACGGACCAAGCAGACCATCGCAAAGTTCAAGCACGAGCCAAAAAACCTACCCTGGCTACAGCTGGCCGCTGTTGTGGAGCTCTCATAGCGACCACCACCGCCGTACGAGTACAGGTATTCCGCAATAGACGCGAGCATGAGCACGACACTTCACTTCGGCCCCTAAAGGTTCGCGGACGATGCGGCACTCGGCCGCGAAATGCTGGAGCGGCTTCGTCGAAACGTTCACTGCCGACACATCAAAAGAAGGATTGCAGCAGGCGACACATTTGCAGACGCGCAACTTCGGGAGACGGACGAAGCTAGCAGACGGAAAGAGACGCTGGCTCCGGTAGGATGCGGCAGTCGGCTGCCAAGTTGTTGCGAAACGCAAGCGCTTCGGTCACCACGGCACTTCTGCGGAAGGAGCCAAGGATCGCGTTTGCGAGTTTGGACCCGGGATGTCAAAGGGATCGAAAGGCTCACGACTTGAGAAAGGCCGCAAACGGTCCGAGCGGCCGTGAAACGCGAACGACAACGAAGAATGACGCGGGCAACACAGCACCGGATGTGACGAAATAAAAAGGTGACGAATCGGAGGTGATGTCAAAGAATGTGTGGCATCGTGAATAGATCGGATGACCGATCGACCGAAACGGGAGGCGGCTTGCGCCACCTAGGTGCGGGCATTGACGCTAATTAGGACGCTCGACCCCCAGTGACGCTACTTACAATAAGGTTTCGGTGCAATTGATTACTGATTACCCTCTAAAGGATAAGAACCCTTTCCTCGGCTTGCTCCACCAGACTGGCAATCTCTCCACCTTCCCGGTGTCTGTTTTTATTTTGTTTTACATCCCCTGATGAAGTGTTATTATTATGTCAGAATGTGCATTATGAAGTAGTTGTCACATAAATGCATGCCAGTACAAAAATTAATATAAAAACCCACGGAACTGAGGGGTGAACTCCTGACACCCAAGACAGCAGTGTGAGCTTATGCCCAACATGCTGCTGAGCAGCGGTGCATTAAACACATTTGGCCACTGAAAAAACTTGACCTTTTTTCTTTTTAGTTGTAAACTGTGAAGCAACAAAAAGACTAGGGGGATGAACTATGGGCTGCAACAACCAGATGACATCACAGGGACGACTTCAATATTGTTTGATGGTCATAGTCGCCCAGGTGAGCTGTAGCTCCGAAGATGAGAGGAGTACCCTCTTTCAATGCACGGCTACGTCACCATGCCCCTTCGCAGCGAATGGAGCTGGTTACACACACCATTCACTGCAAAAACAGCAAATGCATGCAAGAAAGAAATGCAAACAAAAGCAGAAAACAGCAAATGAAAACTGTGGGCAAGACTGAACTGTGCAGCGGTTACAAAAAGGTCTTTTAGCTTGTGCTATTCACTTTCAGGATGCTTACACTCGTCCCCTAGTACACGACCTAGAAGATTGTGTATCGTTCCCATTTCCTAGAACAAAGGCACAAATACACAGAAGAACTGAATGCAAAATGACCAACTAGAAGGTCATTACCACCTGTAGCCCCGGGGAGGTGAACAGAAGGTACCCCGTTCAATCGCTAGTCCGCACCAGATGGTGGTAAAACAAAGTCGCCCCTTCATCGTACTAGTGTGGCACAGGCAGTGGTAGCACAGAACGATTATGCTAGTGTCATTGTTGGGAAGTAAAGGGTGTTCCAAAAAAAAATTTGCAGGTTTTCTTTTTATCGCAAAAATAAACTATGCATGGCAGAACGCTCATTCTCTGCCGAAAGGTAGCACTAAAGGTTCTAGCCAGATGCCCAAGTTTTAGCACAAAACAATATTTTAATCAAAAGTTATAAGTAATTTTCTGATAATTTCAATGGGAAAATGGGGCCCATTTTGTCCGATTTCGGTTTTTGCTGCCATACAGCGCCATGCATTCCAGAGTTCTGTCGGCCACCATTTTCCCAGTGACATTTTCAGAAATTAATTTATAAATTTTGAATAAAATATCAGTTCGCGCTGAAACTTCGGCATCTGGTTGTGACCTCTAGCGCTACCTTCGGGCGGAGAATGAGCGTTCGGCGATGCCTAGTTCATTTTTGCGGTGAAAGAAAACCCTGTAAATTTGTTTCGGGCCACACTGTACTTTAAGTACATTGTATTCAAAGTGCCGTTACAAGTAGGTTTAAAAACCTTGTAGTTTACTTGAAGTATGTTCTCTGGGTATGTACTTTACTTAACAGTATTTTTTTCTGGTGCTTTGCAAAGTAAGTACAACTCCCAACTTCAAAGTACATTCCCCAAATTTGTTTTTGTTAAATTTGTTTAAAAAAAAATTATACTTTGTCAACTGAAAAAAAAAAAAAAAAATTAAAGTCAGCACTTTTATTTTGGTGAAGAAGGAAGACCAGCGAAGCTGCACTATGGTGGGAATGAAGTATTTATAAAGGTAAAGATTAAGTTGTGATTGGGTAATTGGTTCTTTGAACGATTAAAGGATCAGACATAAATATAACGATCCAATGTTGTTATAATTTCATAACCATTTTCGTGAGGGCCTTGTGATTGTTGTGGTACACTGCCATAGGGTGTATGCTAACAGCAGGCACATTCTTCGTGAAGATCAAGTATATACACGTCCGATGCCTGGTCATGGGCACCGTAGGTTTGTTCACACACGCAAGCCCGAAGCGCTTGATCAAAAACGAAGTGAACCACATTTCCTCCTGGTGTGCAATGTTAATGTTAAAGTCACCTATCACTACGCAGACATGTCGTCGTCGAGCATCACCTAGCCAAAGACGTCCTCCATGAATGCTTCAATGTCTCTTGGGCGTCGTGGGGGGAACATACATGACGGCGACCACCGGACCATCGTGCACCTTGACGGAAAGGCTGGAAAGTTTGCCGCCATCTATGAGCGACGACGGCAACGAGATTGCTTGTCTGGTTCCCGCCGTCGCTCATACTAGATGGCGGTAGCTGTCCAGAGTTTTGTGTAGTTTTGTGCTGACATTTGTTTGGTACCAGACACGAAACTGGGAAACTAGCCCTTAACAGCTTCGCTGTTAAAAATACTGCGAGGGACATTCTACTCTCACTAGAAACATGAGCAGATGACGCATCGCTCCGTTTGTACTGGGAGCGGCTTTCCAGCGGCAGTTCAAACTCTCGCTACTTCTCGCTCGACTAGCGCAAGAGGGGAGGTTAAAATTATTAGGAGAGAACACTCCTCCACGAGAGGATTGCTCGCGGAAGCTACGGGGCTGACGTCATGCACTCTCCTAGCCACGCTCTCTTCAGCCTGAAAGACTGTGTTAAAAAGTAGTTGTGCTTTACTTCGACAGTAAATTTTATGTATAGTACTTCACTTCAAGTACACTGCACCCAGTCAACCTACTACTTTACTTGGAGTACATGACCTCTCGTCTACTTTGTACCTCAAATACTTTTAAGATGCACTTTACCCAACACTGGTTAGTGTGAAGAAACTGCGTAAACACATGGAGATTGGATGGTGCAGATGGTAGCTGGGAGCCATTTCTGCGATGGCAATGTAAACGCGACTTTCTCGGAGCCTGAGACGCGGTAGAACAAATGTGGCAGAGCCGAGCAGAGCTCTGACACAATCTCACAGCAAAAAATAACCAAATGCTCTAACATACTACCTTTACTTGTTGCTATTGTTCTCGCAATGTAAGCTCATCTAATGGAGCGTCTGGTTTTTCTGTGCTCTTTCTCCGTGGAAACCCGGAGCGCTAGTTTCACGCAGTAGAATGCCACCGAGAGCAAAACAAATGCACTCGAGGAAGACTTCTGGCTGGTACTGGTGTTCAATCAACGAGGAGACGAGCACCGAGTCATCGTTCGGCTCATACTCGGTTTATCAACTTCCATCCCTGGCTGGGTACCAGAAATGATTAGGTGCCAAGCCATATTGCCGCATGCATGGCTGAGATGGAACGCTTCTCCGTTTTTCTGCAGAATTCATGTTTACTCTTGCACCCAGTGAAGTAGATAAGGAGCCCAACGTGGCCTTGCTGACGCACTCTCCAGACGACAGACTCTAGTGCTGGCCGTCACGCCGACACCTCGACACTCGCCGCTGCTGCTTTAGTGACGCTAGTTCTTTTGTTTGTGGCACAAGTTCGCCAATTAAACCTTTATTTTCAGTTTAAAGCTTGTCAACCCTTTTCCATCTGCAACAATATAACATATTCTGAGTTAAAAGGGGCGACTTTGGAAAGCCATACCATTGAACGATTGGACACAGGCACTGCATCAGAGTTCGGCAGGGCGGACGGACAATCAAGCTCAAGATCGGGTTCAACAAATGCGGCTCCAAACCGTCTAAAGGGGTGTCCGAACAGGACACTACAAAATGCACGACTCCGACAAATCGTGAAAATTGAAGCGGGCGCGAAGCGGGCGCGTCCGCTTCAATTTTTACGATTTGTCGGAGTCGTGTGTTTTGTAGTGTCCTGTTTGGACACCCCTTTAGAGTTGCAAAAACTCCGCACGAGATGGCGCAACCTGTCCAACCGAACTTCATTGCCCGGTCGGTACGATTAAACAAATAGCTGTGCTCATCCCTTTTTTTCAATGACCTTAGCCAAAAAAAAAAAAGAAAAAGCCACTGACCTCCTTCGAAGGCATCAAAGAACTCGTCGTCCGAATGCAGCGGAGCTTCCTCCTCGACTCCGGTGTTGCTTAGGGTGCACTCTAGGTGATGGTGCTCACGGGCAAGCACGCTCAATGACTCCTGCAGGACTCTCGAGCGCTCCCGCTCCTGGTCCAGGCGTGCAGATCGAGCCTGACAAACAACGACCACAGAGATGCCTGCGTCACGAAACCTCGGCCGATACGCCAACTTTAACGGTTCACAAGAAAATTTCAAGCACGCACCAACGAATGAATACAACCACACAGCGTTTTCTCGCTGAAACCGCATTACATCTATTGCATTGTCACATGAGCTCGTCGGCAGGGTGCTTGTTGCAACTTAGACTTGGCAGATGGCCATGAAGGCTGTATCTCATACCTACTGAAAAATAAGAAAACCGTTTCGTGCACAAAACTTGTGAGCCCACTTATCTGTTCGACGTGCAAAGAGCAAACCGCCGCCATTTACTGAAGACAACTGAATGACCTTTGGAGCACACAAAAAATGGCATGACTAAAATATTAGATACAATTAATCAAAAAAGATAAGCACATAATAATCTGCTCATTAAATAATGAATATCGATGGGATCTATAAGAAATTCGCTAAGCAGAGAGGACGGGTCATGGGGATGCGATTAGTATCAAAGGAAAAAAACTGCCCACAATATTTTCGCGAAAGGCACAAATTGCGTAGCTATACGGCTTGCAAGTTCCTCTGCTCCGTGTGCGTTTAATTACCCCTAAAGAGGCCCTACGTGTTTTTGTCCCCTCCCCCAACCTCAACCAATGACGGCGCGCACTTGGCTGCTTTGTGTGCTTTGTCATCGTGCGTTCCCTGAGCATTCTCTATGTTGCCCTTTGATTGCCGTGCTCTTGCTCGCATTCTGACGCGCCGAAGACGCATTTTGGAACACTTGCTAGCCGTATAACTGCCAATGTGGTTGAGGGCTTGTCAGGCATCATGCTGAAGATTCTTTTTTCCTCCCCTTTTTCTCCAACATTTCTGCAGAAGGAAATTATTGCTATCATTAATAACTCTCCGTGGCAGTACGATACAGATGTCATCCTTCGCTTTCCGTCCGTAAATGGCGCAATTGGCTCCCTGCATGCCCTACGGGAGAGCTAACTCATGGGCTCTGCTCTCGGACAGGTCGGAAACGGCGGCCGTTTGAACGCACCTCTTCCTGCTGTTTGAGGAGGAGGGTGCAACTGCCAAGGCTAGAGGACACGGCCCGGGAGAGTAGAAGGAGCTCCTTCCACTGGGACAGCAGGTCCTGACAGGGTCCCACACAGCTGAGCTGGTGAGCGTCTAGGACTTGCACGAGGTCCGCGTGCATTGCGGTTGCCCGGTCCACCCCGCGCTCCAGGAGCTGCTGCTGTGCCTGCGCCGTCTGTGAGAGAGTGCCACATGCGCTGATGCATCACCGTCTGCTCTGCTCTACCATGATGCACAGGATGTGTTTCTGAGCAGTGCGTTTCATGTCCTGTACTGATTATGCATTGAAAGGGGCTCTGCAATTACTACAAAATACCGGGTGTTTCAGTAAAAAATCGTAAACATCCCTAAAACTAAAGTCTATTAGAAAAAAAAAAAAAAAACTTTTTTGGGTACAAATTGTCAGTCACAACAGATGTCAGAAATTGCACTACCAAACATACTAATTAAAAACTACCACCTAAATTTCGCAAATGAACTTCTTTAATAGTGAAATAAACATATGGTTCTAATTAGAAACTTTCTGAGCGTCACTAAAAGCCCCTAAATCGGTCAATTTCAGGACCACTGAAGCAAGCAAGAAGCATGGGGTGCACTGAAGTTCCCACTCGTGCGGCAGGCACAAGGCCGGCATTGCAAAAATGCAAAGATAAAATATATTTTCCGCACCACCGTTTGGACTCGTGATCCCACACTACCGTGAGGGTCGTCGATATTTTCGGCTCCCCTCGCAGTGCGGGAATGGAAACAGGAAGAATGCAGGAAAGACACGAGAAAAGTAGCGGAAAGGGAGGAGGCGTACTTGAAACCAATGACTCAACATATCTGCCAGACGTTCTGTAGTGTGGGTGTTATCGCAGACAAAGTATGTAGGCTTCTGCTTTACTGCGGCACCGCCAAAAGGCGGATTAGGCCGAATTAGAGCGCAGCTCTTGAGGAGGAGGGGGGAAGGGTACTGAGGGGAGGGTATACCCCTCCTCCCTCCTCATCCCGCCTGCTACTCCTCCCTCCGAGCGGCGTCGCCGTCGGCGTAACTGTGAGGTCACTTGACCCTCGTGACGTCACGTGACCCTCATGACCTCGCGTGACCCTTGTGACCTCACGGGGGTCACGGTTACGCCGACGGTGACACCGACACCGCTCAAGCTGGAAACGGGCGACTAAGAGCTGCACTCTAAAACAGAAAAAAAACGAAAATTGCTGGTTCGCACAAAGCTTCACGGAGTGCACGGTGCACGACACTGTTAGCGTGAATGCGAGTTCCGTGCTTTTTCGCATTATTCTTTGAAAGGCGAGTGGCGGGAACCAAACTTTATCGTCTGGGTTGGTGCCCCACATGAGCACTTTCCAGCACACTACAGCCACCGACCGATTTTTGGAACTTTGCAAGGAACATAAAAAAACGTCGGAACAGAGCAATCCAAAAAATCAGCAGATTAAAAACTTGCCTTTATTACGTCTAGCGTTATGGTCGAGTACTTTCCGCTTTCTTAGTGACACTCCGTGGCAGCGGAACAACAGATGGTGCCTCGACGTCTAAACCAGCGTAGTATGAAAACACAATTCACCGAGATAAGAGGAGAGGCGCAAGTCCACAACTGCAGAATGGGGAATGAACAAAGCAAAATGGTAACAATGTTGATGATAATGACGAACAGCTAAAGAAAAACTGTCAGCCTTTCCACTCTGGTGAAGAAGACCAGCAAAGCTGCATATGGTGGGAATGAAGTATTTATAAATGTAGGGATTAAGGTGTGATTGGGCAATTGTTTATTTGAACGATTAAAAATCAGACATATATATAACGATCTGGGGTTGTTATTTATTTTGTAACTACAGTGACCATGGCCTTGTGATCGCTGTGATACACCGCCATAGGGTGTATGCTGACAGCAGGCACGTTCTACGTGAAGACGAGGTCTATACACGTCCGATGCCTAATCTTGGGCACCGCAGGTTCGTTCACACACGCAAGCTCGAAGCGCTCGAACATAAACGAAGTGAACCACTTTCCCTCCCGGCGTGCAATGTCAACGTTAAGGGGGGACATTGGCTAGAGGTCAAACTTCTGAACTACTGAAGTGATTAGAATGAAATTTGCAGGGGAGATTTAACTTCAGACGTAGGTGTACTGTGCAAACTTTCAGCTCTCTAGGTCAAACTTACATACCTGCATAAGATGATGTGTCACTTTTTGTTAAGAAATCTATGGTATGCAAATGAAGCTATTAAGCACCATTTTGACTGCTAGAATATAAAGTGGGGGATATGGGACTTCGGGCTATCTAGTTTAAATAACTTAAATGTAAATATTTCAGGAAGAGTTATTACCTCAAAAAATAAAAAGCATTTTCTGCCCTGTGTCAAGTTTTGAAAACTTAGTTTTTTATCACTGAGGACTTCCACCTAAAACGAAATAAAGTAGATAGCCCGATTCCCCCAGTAAATTTCAGTTCAGAAACATTTTGATTGTGGTGTCAGAATATTTTTACCTTAGAACAAAAGATTCCTTCGTATGAAATTTGCAGCAAAAAGTGGAACTGAGAAAAATGTAATCAAACATTGAACTCCTCTACTTTGTTACTGCCTCACAATGTGTTGAAAATATTTTATATCAACGCAACTATTTGGCTTATGGTTATCAAATTTGGTGTAAGGGTGTATAACTAGTTTCTAAAACCAAAAACCTCAAACTGAAAAATGAATTTTTTCAAAAATACTTGAAATTTAGGCCCATGTCCCCCCTTAAAGTCACCCGTCACTACGGCAGGCATGTCGTCGCCGAGCATGACCCAGTCGAAGATGCCCATCATGAATGCTTCAATGTCTCTCTTGGGCGTCACGGAGGGGACGTACCCGATGGCAACCACTGGACCATCACGCACCTTGACGGAAAGGCTGGAAAGGTTGCCGCCATTTAGGAGGCTAATACCAAACATTTGTTTGGCATTGGCCTTTCTGTCAAGCCCTTAACTAGCCCTTAACAGCTCCGCTGTAAAAAAAAAAAAGCCGTAGCATAGTGTCACCTAGCGGTAAAACTTAGCAGTAGTCAAGTACTGCTGCCAAACCAAGCCAATCCACGTGAAGCCAAGATAAAATCTAAAGTGGTTGCTTCTCGGTGGCGTTTCCTGCTGATCGCTCGCGACGATTTTGTCCGAAAAATCAAACTTTCAGACTTTAAAACGTTGGCAGTGGATATGCGCTACTTCTATCGCGTAGGGCACAATTCCTCTTTAAGGTCCGAAATATTGAACAAGTTTGAATCATCGGCATCCAAAAGATCGGTCGGCGACTGTAGTAGTTTTGGTGACTGCCTTCAGATTCTAAGAAAAGAACAGAAAAAAAGTGGCAATCGCCTATTGTGCTATCCAGACGAAGGGGTTCGCGGACCCTTGTGAAGAACTGCGGTACATGGACGTCTCTCACCGCCAGCACGTCCTGGATGGATCCCAGGGGCAGCAGGTCTTCTTCATCACTGTCCGATGCAGACATGCCCTGGTGGGTGTAGTGCCTGCTGAACTCTATGTGTTCCTTCAGCTTGCCCACCCAGCGCTGAAACAAACAAACAAAAGTCACCGTGATCCACAGCAGCCAGATGCTCCAGTAATACGAGGATTGGGCGCTCTGAGGACGTCCCAAAAGTTGGACGCGGCCAAAGTAAATCGGCAGACATTTACGGGCAGTACCCAAGGAGTGCGATGACCTACTTTAGGTCACTGCAATTTCTGAGAACTACTGTCGGCGAAAAAGTGGAGAGAATGCTATTTTTTCGAGTACATTCCTCACACTCGATTGGTCGTCCCGTCCCGAAATCCCCGACATTTTCCGTAGCCCGCTATCGGTAACTGTTGATTGTGCTCATACGTCCCAATTTTAATTTATCTGGCACCCATTTCAGGCACCTGAAATTCACTTTCCAGTGCCTGTGACGTCTGCCCCAAAGAACTCGAGATGAAACCGGTGTTACAGCGATGCACCTTTTCAGACAGCTGGACAAAAACAGACTCACCAACGTCCAACGTTTTTTCTATGTCACACCAAAGGCAGTTGGGGAACAAACGACAGACTAATGGCTGGCCGTGATATTAGCATACTTCAACTGGCCTTTCCCTATTTCAAGCTACAATTCAATACCACAGCGGTTCTCAAGTTTTTCAGCACAGATGCAATAAAGCAGCAAAGAAGACTACAGACTTTCTCAGCATTAACACATACAGTACAGAATGTTTTTATAGTTGCACAGCAATGGGTGGCTCAGACCAGCAAAAATAGCACTCATACTGATGGAAAACCATTTGAGGATGATACCTTAGGGCAGTGGTTCTCAAATAGGGTTCCACAAAGCCATTTTTGGGGTCCACAAAGTTTTCGCCTAAAGAACCCTCTCCCTATCCTACCTGAAAAAAAAAAAAAAAAAAACTGTTTTTGTTGACTTTGGTTAGGTAGCACAAGCTACCGCCCGTTATAAAGGGTGCAGCCATTACAATCTATTCATACGTTCCTCCATTTATTTGATGGTTCGTAATTCTCCTGTCTGCATCAGTAAAGGATACCTTTTCACACTGCAATTAGTTGTCTTAGTTTAGCCCCCCCTCTCCCTGCTGGCAAGGGGTCCCCATCGCTCTGGCGGTCCCCAAGGATATACCCAAAAACACCCGCGGTTGAGAACCGCTGCTCTAGAAAACACCTAGAGCAGTGGTTCCACTGCTCTAGGTGTATCCACACAAATCTCAAACCAAAATCTTTAAACCTTCTGTACAGTATGAATTCTCGGCCAGCACAAGCCAACTGCTGCGAGGAAAGACACCATATGGTTTCTGAACAGTCCCCTTTGGGTTCGACCAACAACAGAAGAACGTGCTCACCATACGATCGACCCGATCGTTGTCGTCCGGTGGCACCGTCAATCGCTCGGGCGGATCGTCTGGGAACAACACGACGAAGCCCGCCTCGTCCGTCGGGTCGCACTGGCGGAAGACGGAGACCAAAAGTTCACAAACAAGCTGCACACTTTGAAGCGCAAAATAAATAAAACTTTCGGGTTACATTTTTTTATATAACACATATAGAATAAATATTTACGAAACAGAATGTAGAATGTGCTAAGAGGCTGCAAACAATTAATTATAGCAATGCATTACTACACAGTGGTTTAGGTTTCAGCTGCCCCCCACTCCCTGGTCTGCGAAGACATCCAAAAACCGGGGCTTCCGGCAGTCGAAACCGAAGCCGCCAAGCCAAAACGAATGCAATAAGGGCAATAAGTAATCATTCCTTGTATGTTGCCGTGTTAAGAACCACGTTTTACGTTTAGCTACGCCATACACGCTACTTAAGAGTAAAATAAAAATGCAACCCCCACGAAACCAGTAACTAAGAACCTTGGCGAAAAGTCTAAATGTTACCATAATTCCAACAGTCCGCCGAATTCAGGATGTCACCCAGATTGTGACGCCGTCTCACCTCGACACGTGCCATATCCAGGTAGTGGAATCGCTTGCGTCGCGTGCCTGAAGCTGCATCTCCGCTAACATGTAATAAAAAACCAAAAAACAACAATAAAACATTTATTTTATGTGTCTTAGTCTAATTATTGGTGTTTCAGCAATTACTGTTGAAAATTCGTACCAACAGCATGGTTGAGAAAAAGAAAAAAAGAAGCACTTTCCAGGAACAAATTGATTGCCACAAGAAACATCAAAAATTGAAGAAAAAAAAAATGCTGATTAGTTAAATATTTAGCCAACTTTTGAAATAAGATTTTTTAAAATTATTATTTGTGTTTTTGCACTGCCAGTCTTGCGCCTGCTGCATGAGTGGTAACTTCAGTGCAATCTCTAGCTTCGCACACACTTTAAATGTTTCTAAAGTTGACCTATTTAGGTGTTTTCAATGACGCTGGGCAAGATTCTAACTGGAACCATACGTGTATTTTCGCTAATGAATATGTCTTTTGCCAACCCCGACGTTTGACGTGGCTAAGTAATCGCTCCCGAAATGTCCTTGTCGAGTTACCAGAAATTTTACTGTCCTTTACGTACAATCTATGTCTAAACTCTCACCACTGTCCAGTATGCAAATTTCATTTGATAGAATCGCATCCTCTAGCCTGGACATTTTGACGGATCCCTCAGTTCTTCGCTGGGACTTGGAGAGTCCAGTTACTACACCAACGTTACTACACCACTCAGTTGGGAAACTGCCATAGAGCCTGCTCTGAAAATGTGGCACCGATCCATACTCCAAAACCGAGCTAATGGCAAACACAACGCCGCCATTTCTCCCGCAGCGGCCACTCAGGAACTGCACGTGACTTCTATTTCGGCTTCAATCGGCCATTTTGGCGCCGAAACAGACACGGTGGAAGGGGTTCCAAGGGTGCCAGACCCGTCTCCCAAGCGGACGCGCCGCGGATTACTACCGAAGTTAGAATGCCCCTAGGTCGGGACGCGCTACCTGAAATCGCCGCTGAGGCATGGTTGTATAAAAACAATATTAATTGTGACGCAAAACCTTGCAAACTAAACACTTTAGAAAACATCACGCGCCCTTTATTTTGAACTAAACTCCAATAAAAGTTACTACAAAAAAATGAAAGCCGTTTACAACTCCCTTAACGCCGAATTAGAGCGCAGCACTTGAGGAGGAGGAGGGGAAGGTATGGAGAGGAGGCTATGACCCTCCTCCTCGCCTCCCATTTAGGGGAAATTTCCCCCTAAATTTAGCGGGGAAAAGTTTCCGCTAGATTTAGCGGGGAAATTGTTCCGCTAGATTTAGCGGGGCAATTTTTCCGCTAGATTTAGCAGGGAAACTTTTTCCGCTAGATTTAGTGGGGAAACGTTTTCCGCTAGATTTAGCGGGGAAATTTTTCCGCTCGCGCTCTAAAAGAGTTGTTTTCCGTTGGTTTTTATGCAAAAACATGCTTTCTAAAATCTCAGGGTGACAGCAGTAAAGACAAATGATAAAGAGTGGCGCTGTTGTCATATTTAGCTCGGTCTCGGTGGACGCCAGCGGCTCAGGTTTCAACGGCGAGTTTCCCAACAGAGTGTTCTAGTAACGTTGGTTGAAACTGTGCTACATTTTGTGGAAAGTGCGCCCACTATTTGTAGTCGGGATAATTTGTGCATTTAATGCTGTGCGTGCGTTGTTTTTCTTCTTTTTATCTTCTTGTCTGCACCAATCTGAAGACCAGCATGGCTGTTTTTGGGCACATAAAATAAACAATATTATTATTATTATTACAGTAGTAGTTATGCTTATGCTACTGCTGGGTGTGATATGTGCATAATCACTCTGGCCCAGCCAACCTCGGAGCTGTGAGCGGACATTATTTGAAGTCGGGCTCACAGGATTATCTAAATGTTGATCCTCGTATTGGTCTGCTTTTGACGGCGTTTCCGTCAACAGTAGCTTCCACAAACATTACTTGAAATCATGTTCTAGAATGTCTTTCCAGACTCAACCACAGGCTGTGGTCCGTACCGTCCACGACCGAAATGGCCTACCAGCAGCCGAGTTATGTTGATGAGCGCCTGGAACCACGACACAATTGGCACGGTTGACACTGACACGGCGGGACGCCTTTCTGCCGGCACATCCATTAACGGAATGAGCCACAAGATACCTAGAGCCCTGCATATCTGCCGATTACCCACGGATCATCCATGGATATCCGTAGTAAACTGGTGGATCGGACACCAGGGGCTGCAGATGCGGATTGGATATCCGTGGGTCCGGATTTGTTTTTGTCGAGGCAACCCATAAACATGTGCAACCATACAGTGTGAAGTGTATAAGTGAGTGATACTATGAAGTGCATCATCGAATAAACATATTGCAGAAGCAAACTACTCTTTTAGATAAAAGGTGTCAATCGGGGAGAAAATTGTTCTTTACGCCAAGAAAGATTCGATTATCACTAAAAATTGCTTTAGAGCGTTCTATCTTGCCAAAAAATAGTGTTCCTAGAAAAAGTAAACAATGCAGAACTATCAGTTCCTCCCGGAAACGTGTTCTTGTTTGGCAGGGAAAGAGCGGAAAACTTTCTTCGTGCAAAGGAAACCTAAAACGCTCAAGCCACAAGAGAGTAGAAAAAGCCTGCAAGTGGGTTCTTCGCCTACAAGTATATATTGAAGAAACTGAATTCGATCCTCTAGAGTGGTGGAACTTGCAGCAGCACGAGTTTCCGAACCTCATTCGTGTAGCGCAGCGTGTGCATACCATCCCAGCACCAAAAAAGAGAGACTTCTCATTAGCGGGTATTGAGAGGTGAACCAGTCTAAATCCGTCCAAGTTGATGATATTCTGTGTCTTCTACACAACTTCGACAAGTGATACATTGCGTGCGTATGCGTTTTAGGGGCGAAGCTCCTTAGGGTCTAGCCTTTTCCACCCGTCTGGCGTCCGTGCTCACATCGATTGCACTGCCTCCGGGATCGGCCCACTTTAATAAAAAAATGTACGCTGCACGGGGGTTCGAACTCAGGACCGCTTGCTTACAAGGCAGACGTCTTAACCTTTACGCTACACTCCAACGTTGCATGTAACATCTATACAGGAGAAGGCGCTGCGGTCAAATGCGTATATAATTGCGTTAAATTTTGCATGCGTTGGCTCAACGTTTATAGATAAGAGGGAGCTGTGGTTAAATGCTTAACTGCGTATATAACCACGATCCATACCACACATTCTCTTTCTGACATGGACCGTTGACTTAGGCGGTGGAGATGCGTTCCCACGGCTTCTAGCGGATCCAAGCTGATCCGCTAGAAGAACCACTGGCTCTGCATTTCACCGACCATAAAGCAGTAATAATGAAGTCGAAACGCAACCCGGAACTCAGCACTCAGCATTACCTATGAACAATAAAATCGGTATCATCAGCACCACCAGAGCTTCGCCCCAATCAACATCATTCACCACGTGGAGATGCGGCCTTTTTTTTTTTTTTCTTGACAGTTGGCATTAATTTGTTTTTAAGTATATGGTTCTGAGCATGCAGATGAGGGTTCGTGTTTACAACTGTAACCAATAGGAGGTGTTGCCATTCTTGAATATTGTGATATGTTCCCAGTGGTGTAATTCCGCCTTACCACATATACACGAGTATTTTGCTGCTGCGAGTGAGCGCCTTTTTTCTCCCACTTTTTTACTATTTGGCCTAAAGAAAATGATACACTTTTATTAGCCTGTCCTTTGACAATTTTCATGTTTATAAAATATGCATTTGCTTGAAGTGCGTTTTACCAAGCAAAAAAAAAATATATATAAATTTTCTTGCTTTTGAGCACATATGCTGGACAGAGTGTCAGTGTCAAAGACTCCCAAGTTGATCTAATAACTGCGATCACCTTTCGAGCGATGCAAAGCGTCTCTTGAAGGAACATTGCTTATTTTATAAATATGATAAAACAAGATCCGATAAAACGACTTTCACCGTATTCTTACACGAAGAGTTCTTTGTAGGAAGGTAAGCAGACGGCTTATAGGATACCTCCAGATGTTTTTTTTAATGTTTATTTATGCTTGCATTTATTATGTAAAATGAATGCACGGATTGAGAGTCGGATGCGGTTCGGACGCGAATAAGAAGTCTTCAGATTCAGATCAGATGCGGATGATCAAACTGCTATCCGTGCATGGCTCTACAGGGCTTAAAGTTCTTGTTTTGCTCATTCCCGAATTAAAAAAAAAAGATTGAGGTATGCCTAAGCATTCCTTATGAGTTGTAAATAGGAAAGCATGCAAGCCGCTCGTCCGCTCCCTTTGTCGTCTGCTGCATACTTTTCGTCGCCGGTCGGCGCGTGTGCTCCCCTGGTAACCTTGGACCCTCCGCTCTGATGGACGTGCAGCGCCATGGAGTGAGCGGTTGTGGAAACTGACGAGCGCAGCGGCCAATGGGAGCCCCATCGACGCGCGCCAGCCAATGGAACCGAAGGAAACTATCTGTCGTTTTCGTGCTTCAGACTGATGACGTCAGCTCGCTCCATGAGACAGTTAATGCTTTCGCATTAAAATCGCCGTATTTGGCGTGGGTGGGATAAAACTTGCCACAGAATGTAGTATTTAAGGCAAGCAACTCAATATAGCTGGATTGTATGGGTAATGTCTTCTGAAGTTAAGCAACTGAACCAAGTCACAGAGATTGTTATTGGGGTGGCCCTAGCAAAGTGCTGTTATACAAACAGTTTCTGGAAACACGGGCCAAATCGCTCCAGCGAAAACTATGCAATGCACAGAAAAAAAGGTTAATGTTGTAGTGGGTAGTGCCAAAGGGCCCACTAAGAAAAATTATTAGCGTTCAGTATAATTAGGTAATTAGTTAATTTTGAGTAATTAAATTACTAATTTCTGATTTTAAAGGTATGGTTTCGATCAAAATCTTGCTGGGCTTCGTCGAAAACTACTAAATACACGCATTACGATTATATTAGGCACACGCAGCATTTTATGGTGTTCCAAAAAAATTCTCAACTCTTTCCTGACCGCGCCCATGGGCCATCGATTGCCGAACAATGGTTTCCAAGCGCCGTCAAGAAACTAAGATTAGTGCAGAGAATTACGCTCCATAATCTTGTGGATAGCCGAAGAACTGTAGTTTAAATTTCAACGCATGTTTGAGCTTTATCGCAAGCTGGAGGGCTGTCGAAAATAGTCTTGGGAACGATGCTTGCACTCGTCTAATATTGCTAACTGCTTTCATCAGTCTTTGTAACAAAGATGGCATTATTTCCATGATTCAGCTGTATTGTGGCATATTTTTTAGACCTTAAGAGCCCTGGAACCGCTTTAAATTATGTTTTAGGCATTGCTTGACAGGTGGCTGTTGATAATTATGACTATAGTTTCCGATGCTGTCCTGAGCCGGCATGCATGTTTTATGTTCCCAACAAGTGGAACAAAAATGCTAAATATGAATTAACTGCAATCCAGGATATGACAAAACCGAGGTAGAAAACAAAGAAAGCATTCTGCTGGGGATGTGAGGTGCGTCATCTGTGTTTCACCAACATAAGCATTCCTTTGTTGAAAAGTGCACATGCTACGAAGGCTAACTCTTCAACGAACAAAAGAATAGACAACGCCAGTTAAAGTACACTAACTTTCAGGAAAAGTAATAGCCTTGGGTGTGGGGCACATTTTGTATATTCTAAATTTTTCTTTTATTTGTTATTTACTTTGAATAGCTGTAGAAGTGTCGGCATTTATACGCCTCCTGCAGATACATTGCATTTTCAAGAAATAAAGTTTTAAAACTTTTTTTTTCTTGCGGTATACTACCCTCAGTATCTTTTGAAAGAACAATGAATTGGCCACAGTTTGATGCAACATATTGCTCCACATGCAAATTAGTTAGAAAAATAAAAGCTCTTGCACGGATCCTTTGAAAATTGCTAGTTTTCCCGTAGTCAGGAAAGATTCAACTATCTTATTGGTAGGAATTTTAAAGTCTTTGCTGAGACACCCGGTATATAGTTCCAGCAGCTCCAAACTTTCATTTTCACGAAGGTGGTCCCATGCAGAACACGACAGAGTTGTGCGAAAGACCCTCGGACACTTCCTAGCCTTCTAATCTCATTCAATATTTCATAAACTTTTGCTAGGCAAAACCAGTTGTAGGCTTCTACAGCAAAAAAAAAAAGCATGTTTGTAACTTCCCAACGAAGAGCTGAAACGTGCACTTGCAAATACTAACTGACTTGGTAGACACACAAACATTTAGTGATGAGGACAGGGATGTGACATGCAAAAGCTTCAATGACTAACGTTTCAAAGGCAAGAGCTGGCCTAAACAAACTGCAACGCAGTCTACTCACCGCGAGCGAAAGAAGGAGAGGACGCCCCTGTCGAGAACGGCCCAGACGCGGACAGAACCAAGGAACCGTTTCCTCTGAAGAAAAACAAAAAATATTTGAAAATTTTCTAATAAATCTTGCAAGCCCTTCAAAATCCTGTACTCTCAAGACAAAACACTCACTTTGAGCTTATAGATCGGTGGGCCTCTGACAAGTAAATGCTATACTTCACAAAGCATGCTATAGTTTTTCTGTGCCAGACCAAAATTTGCGTTCGACATGCAAAACCAGTTTCTTTGAGCACTTCATTGGAAAATATTTGTGTTGAGGACACCAGACAAAAAGTTTCCAATTGAAAGCTTGACTAGGTCCGGTGTCACACCAGGTATGGAACACAATAATAAAATCAAACAACACTATCTAAAATACCGGGCAAGCGCCCACTCAAACTTCGGAGATAATCGCGTAAAAATGGGGGATGGGCGCTTGTCCGGTAATGGGCGCTTAATGTGGAATGGGCGGATGCATGGTATTCTACGGTATTACCTAAACAAAAAATGTGCTTTAACAATGAATATCAATCTGGTCGAAGATGAAGTTGTTAAGCAATGTAAGCAAGTTATGAACAAGGGATTGAAGTGCATAATTAGCATGGAAATGTGTGGCAAACAAACCCTCCGACTACAGCTGCCATAAGAGACGACGCAAGGATCGTGAAAGGTATGGAACACTATTCATTTCTTCTAAACGCTTCTAGATAGAGGTAATCTGGTTCCCTCTTGTGTTCAATGTCATATAAGTACTCTTAGAAGGCAAAACAAGCTCATGTGTGGTCACGCACGCGCGTGATGGGCCAGCCGCGTCGTGTCGACCGCGCGCGCTGGACCGCGTGTGGTCGGCACACACTTCACTTCTCAGTTACCTTCCTTGCGACAATCATGAACAACATTAGTGAAAGCCGATGTCGTCCATGATTACAGGTATCTTGTTGAAAGAGAGGACGTGCTCAATTACGATCATGTCATAAAGGGCAGGACAGTGTCCGCCTCGTGGTGTACGCGCTGCAGTCCTCCACGCTGCATATACCCAGTTCAAAAGCATGCTTTAAGCACTGCGGTACGTAGCAAGTGCGCACCATGTCACTACAAACAAATATGCAGCAAGCGTGGAAACAATGTGGCGTACGCTAGGGAAGTGCTAGCGTCATAGTTGTTTGCCACACAGCGATTGTTTGCGGTGATGATGATGATAATGAAAGTGCGCCCCCTATGGTTCATCTCCTCACCCACAGTCACAGACACTGGCGACTTTCATGATATTACGACTAAAAAATAATGGTTCATCATGAGTGTCATGGGAACATTAGCAATAAAATGCAGTACTTTTGAATCGCTCATTTCTAATCACCCTCATTCCATCCGTTCCTAATCAACCTTGTGCCAAACAACGGCCAAGCTTACTTGCATCCTCAGCCCCTTCCTCTACTCCGATCCCAGCTAGTGACTGAATGATTGTCCGGCGGACACCCACCCTCAGGAGGGGACCTTCGTGCCTGGAGGCGTTCTTGCGAAGCTGCCGGATTGGTGCCACGTGCAGAATCTGCCGCATCTCGTCCGTGTGAGCCAAGTCTGCCGCCAGCTGCCCTGCAGCCCCCAACAGTCAGGGCTGTGACACAGTTCCTAACGCCAACTTGAGGAAGTTAGTCTTCTTAGAGTCCCCCTATCCTAGACTAAGGTGCAAACAAAGAAGGGAAAGAAGGAACCGAAAGAGAGGACAATCTCTGGTCAAGAGGGTAAGAAAAAAAAATTACTGAGTTTTCCAACCGTTTTGTTTTATGCTTGCTCTCATCAATGGCATTGTTAAGTGGCAGATCAATTGTAAGTAATTATCTTCATTGTTCAGGCCTTGTGTGAACACTGTGTAGATGATTGTTGTGTTTAAACACCTTTACACTCCTGTGAAAGCCTCGTAATGGGCTGACAGAGGCTGACAGACAAAAAAAAAAAAATAAAGTAAAAGTACACTTTGGCTTAACAAGTCAGTAAATGTAGACCTTCTTAACATGTTTTTGTCCACTTTTTCATTTCGTTTTTACACATATATAGTACTGCCAGGACTTAATGGCTTCCGGAGGTTCCTTCTCGATTGAACAGTACGCTTACAACATTTCTGTCAGGCCAGTCAGAAACTATTCAGCATTGGTTGACAAGCCTTGCAAAAGAATCAATTCAGAAGCTCTCAAGATGCGAAAAAGAGGAAGCTTGTCAACCATTTAATTGCAACCCAATGACTGCGAAATGTAGACTGCATTTCTAAAAGCCCAACCACTGCCGCAAACAAGGTTATGTTCAGACGCCTAATCTTGCACACACCATCAGAACCACAGGTTCTGAAGAAACGCTCCGCGTCCACAAAACGTTGCAATCAACGTCACCCCAGTCTGTTGACTCATTTGTGCTCAATAGCACCAACAGTCATCCACGTTTTCCTCAAATCAGAGAAGATTAAACGGATTGTTTGGTAAAATTTTGTCTTTCAGAAAACAACTTGCCGACGAAAACACACACAGTGTTTTCGTCGGCAACAGCGGAAGCTCTGACGTAACATCAGGCATAAGAAGCCACCTCAGCTCTTGACTGCTGTCCCAGCAAAATAACCTCGTTCTAAGAAAGACAAGATTTACGTCATTAAGGGAAGCTCAATTCTTCGATAAAAATCTTTGTGAGCTCACCATCAAGCACAATGATCGAAACCGGGAATAAGTCAATATTGGGGAGTCTTAATAAAATAAACATGACATATCACTATACTTAGGCCCTGCCCTCTTTATGTAACTAGCGCAAAAACTAGACAACCTCCAGATGTCACCGAAACATCCTACTTCAATGAATTTTTAAATTGGCTGACAATGATCCACAATATCCGTAAGTTATAATCGCATGTTTGTATTTTGAGCCTGATGGCTGTACTTTTTGTTATAAACGGCCCACTCTGGCAAGCGCTCGGAGAGCAGCCAGCGGAGAGCATGTGACATTCGCCCCAATCGTGATGTAGATTGTCTCGGGACGAGCAAAGCTGTGGCAAGGCTGAAGTCGAGAAGATGTCCTAGTTGTTCCAGCCGCCGAAGCGACCGAAGCACTCCAGCGATTGGGCCATTGCAACTGATCCCAAAGCTGCTTTTGTACGAATTTTGAGTGACGGGTTAATTTTTTATAATCTTGAAGAGGGATGGACAATAGCGACGTCTGGGACACAAAAAAAGAAAAGTCTCAGGGAGAGGGGAGTTCCTCCTTCCCCTCTTCTCCCGTGGTAGCCGGAAATGAGGCAGTTATCGTCACTACCTATCAAGGTTCCTAGACGGCATTACAAATCCGGTGTTAGCGACGTCCACCAAGTGATTTTTGCTAATCATTTAATTTGTTTTAAAATTCCTTTTCGTGTCTTTTTCAACAAGAGATTGGTTTGTCTGATGTGATACTGCTCCCCTGAACATATAAAAACAAACAAATAAGCGCCAAAATTTTGTTGTGTATCCCTTTAAGGGGGGACACTACCCAAAAAAGGGAACTTCTGAACCACTTGTCCGATTTAAATTACATTTACGGGGCTTGTTTCTGTTCGTGTTGAGAACATTTGTGCCAAATTGTGCTAACCAGGGTGAATTACAAAAAAAATTGCAAATGTTTAAAGATGAAAGTGGGCGTGTCTGCATAGAAAAACTATTGTTTCAAAATTACTTAAATTTGTTGTTTTCATGTGTTATATTGCTTTAGGACAGCTCAGAGCAGATAGCCATATTTCTATATTATACCATCTTTCATGATAAAAAAGCTACATAAACTCAAATACTGTTTTTTAGATTTCCATTCTTTGTCCAAAATTTTGATTTTTTGGACAAAAATAAAAAATTCAAGCTCATAGCTATCTTACCCTTAAAATTTCACTCTAGAAAAACTCATAAAAATGAATCCAAGTTACATAATAACAAAACAATAGTTTTCCTAAAGTGAAATTTATGCTAAAAAGTGGAACAGAGAAAAATGCGTCCAAAGTGTTGCGACTCCTGCCTTTTCTTTGGCATAGGTGGACCAAAAATAATTTATAAAAAGTAACTATGCAGTGTAAACTAACGAAACTTTCTGGGAATATTTTCTAGATGTTGGTGGATGAAAATATGACATTTTTCAAAATCAACTTATTTTGCAGAAATTATCTTTTCTGGGTAGTGTCCCCCCTTAAAGGAATACTACTCAACAGTTATTTTTTGGTCTATATGTGTTCAAAGGAGCAGTACCACATTGCACACACCAATATCTTGTTAAAAAAGACATGAAAAGGAACTTTAAAACAAATTAAACGATTAGCAAAGAGCACCTGGTGGATGTTGCTCATGCCTCGTTTTTGTAATGCCCGTCTAGGAACCTTAAAAGATAGTGACGATAACTGTCTCACCTCCGGCGGCCACCCCGAGAGAAAAAGAGAAGGAGGAACTCCTTTCCCTCCCCGAGAATCTCTTTTGTGTGTCCCAGAAGTTGCTATTGCCCCCTACAAGATTATAAAAGATTAACGCGTCACTGAAAATTTGTACAAAAGCAGCCGCTTCGGAGGCTGGAACAACTTGGACATCCCTTTCGACGTCAGCCTTGCCGCAGCTTTGCTCGTCTCAAGACGAACTACGTCATCATTGAGGCTGATGTCACATGCTCTCCGCTGGCTGATCTCCGAGCACTTGCCGGGGTGGGCCGTTTATAACGAAAAATACAACCATCAGGTTGAAAATACAAACGTGCGATTATCATTTACGAATTTTTGTGGTTCATATTCAAGCTATTCTTTAACACGACAGGTATATTTCGAATTTCATTGAAGTATCCCTTTAAGCTAAAATAATGGATTTCGCCGTACGGAAGTGGCGCATGCCCGACCACCAGTCTCTACAGATGCTTCACAAATCGCCAGAGCAAGGTACCTCTGGCATTGCGCAAGGTGGAGTCGATGCCGCACTGGAGTAACAGCACGGCAATCTGCTTGCGGTCGCGGTAAGCCGCAGAGTGGAGCGCGGTGTTGCCGAACCCGTCCTTGCAGTTGATGTTGGGTGGTTTCCGCGCCCGCAGCTAGCAAGGAACAAAATGAAAAAAAGAAAATTGAGGAAAAGAAAACAACTTTCTCTGCATCATCATATGGCGAGCGTGGACATTACCAGGTTCTGGACGGCATCCACATTCCCTTCCTTCACAGCCGCAAAGAACTGATCCGCCTTTTTCTTCTCATCGGCCGACTCGGCCGCTGAAAGTTAGGGAAACGCTGAGGTTAACAATCACCTGCTCGATTCTTTTCTTTACTGTGTTATAGAGAATGTGACACACTTGGTACGAGCACGACATTGGTGCTTTTTTCATTTTACTGTGACGGGGCACTCGCGAGCATATCATATTGTCCGTTAGGTTAGTGTCCTGAAAGAGCACTTCTAATTACGCTACTGGTAATTCTGATGACAGCCTTTCAATCTTATGAGAAAGAAAAAAAAAAAAGTGACAACCACTCATTGATGGTAACAATGTCGCACCCTGGATGTGCATGTACCTTTGTTTGGTTTTCATCGCCAAACAGTCTGTTTCTTTGGAAGTCTGAAAAACGTAAACTGAGAAGCCAAGCAGCTTTGGAATCGGTGTGAGAACTTTGGGACCAGAAACCTCTAGCAAACAATTTAAAGGTTGATGCACTACAAAACACACAAAAAAAGCCACATTGAATCCCCAAAAAAGTAAATTCAAAATTACGGAACCCTGGATGCTGGTTATATGCACGTTCAGTGGGAAAGTTATTGCATGCACATTTTTTAAAGCACATTCACCGCAGATATTGGAACACTGGGCCACTGTGGGACCGAATCAACAATACACTAAACGTGCAGTTTACAAACCAAATGTGTTTTCTATCAGCATTGTTGCCAACCACTTCCCACTCCTTAGTAAGCCCTGTAACCTCAATATAGTCCGTTGCAACTCAAGAAGGTAGGGCGAAATTAAGGAAGGCCGGGGAGAAGGAAGCAGACGGAACGCTAAAGAGAGAAGGATGTATCCCCCTTTCCTCTCCAGCGTTCCATCTGCTTTTTCCTCCCCAGCCTTCCTTTCCCTTGCTCTACTTCCTTGAGCTGTAACGTATGGTATAGTGGAGGGAGGTGAATCACACTTTCTATACCATCATCCCCATGAAAGTACCACTCCAAACATGACAAATAAAACTGCAGAAAGCCTTCCCACCTGCCAAAATGTTCTTGATGTCGGTGTTCTCAGCCACCTGCTTTGGCGACTGCCCTTCACAGTTGATGATGAACACATCTGCGTTGTACTTCAGAAGTAGCATTACTAGCCCCTGTAACCAGACAACAAACACACTTTAACAGAATAAAATGCAGCTTATACATTTTCCCCTTATCAACACACTATATTTTGGGATTGTTGCAAGCGTCCCTTAAAGTCCGACTTACAGAATCGTCTTCTACCGAGGAAAAAAACCGGTTCCCAGTTTCCTTCTCTTTATTCCCACTCGCCCACTTTTCCCCTCCTCTCCACACAGGAGCGAATCTCTGAACTACTCCCGGTAGAGAGGAGGGGGGTCTCCCTCTTTCTCAAATGGAACGGAGGAACTAAGGGAGAGTTTCCTTCTTTCTGTTTGTTGGTCGGCCTTTAAAGACTAACATACACTTCACGCTTTCAACTTTTCCCCACTACCTCCTTTCCCATATCCTCTCCACCTTTCAGCTTGCCCCAACGCAGCTTCCCTCGCAGTTTAGGAGAAGAGGGCGCTAATAAGATTATCTTCCCTCCAGAAGACCGAGGATGTGTGTCGGCCTTTAAAGGGCCACTGACACCCCAAAGGTCATATTTTTTTTATTGTCTAAAACTATGCAAGTTGCAGTCATAGACACGCAAAAAAAAAAAAAAACGCATCACAAAAAATAATTTTCTTGTGCGTGCGTGCGCCTTTTTATTTTTGGCGTTTGATTCTGCCGCCTCTCGCCTCCTCGCTTCTTTTGATTCGTGACGTCAAGAATCATGAAATTTAGAAGCTTTGTAGGCGACATCTCTATAACATTTAATAACGGCAATCCTAAAAGATGTTTTTTAACGCAATTGCGAACGCACTACGGCCCTCTTTTTTGAAATACCAAAATCGGAAGTTCATTGTGGTGCCGCCTCCTGGATTTGTATCCTCCCACGGAAAACAGGCGACACCGCTCAAAACCGGTCCGCCGGCGCTCGCTCCTTTCCTCCTTGCTTTGGGTCGCCATGGCAACAGCAGGGAGTCGTGAAAGAAAGTGGACTCTCAGGACTCCGCAATATTTGACGTACACGAACCAGCGCGAATAGCGCTGGAACTTCGAATTCGGCAATTGGAAATTGTTTTTTTTTACTTCACAAATACTGAATTCCCAAATTTCGAATTTTGAGGGTAATGTCCCGGCATCGTTTTCAATCGTTTCGGATAATAAAAAAAAAAAATATGATTTTGATGTGTCAGTGCCCCTTTAAAGGGCAACTCCGCTTCATTTTTGATATTTAGAAAACTATGTAGCCCTCTTCAGTACCATATAGGAAGACCCCACGTCAAATATTACGATCTAATTCCGTTTATTTATTTAATAAACTGGCCGGCAAACCTTCAAGCGAGCCAAGTCGCCGAAATCTGCCAACTCCAGCGTGCGGCGCGAGGCGCAATCATCAGCGCAGTCAATGCCACGGAGTTGGAGCGGCCAACGTTGAGCCACTACGTCAGAGGCATGTACGTCATTCTCACGTTTTGCTTGTTTTTATTTCTCAGAGCGAAATGCAACGATGACGTCATGAGTTTCTTCTCCCGGTGTTGGCTGACCGGGCGTTCACGTGATCACCGTAACACGGATGCGCTACTCCCCCCCCCCCCCCCCCCCCCCCCCCTTCTCTTTCGTCTTTTCCCTTCCCCCTCTCACCCAGGCCATCACCGTCCACGCCACGCGAAGCGACCTTCCCGCGTCCGATAAAAAAAACAAACAAAAAAACAAAAAAAAAAAAAAAAAAAAAACCTGCTTGCGTCGCTTGTTCTGTTTCTCGCTCCCTCCCGAACGTCACAAGACCACGTGGTTCGACGTGACGCGCATGCCTTTGACGACCCGAGACCGATGTTGCCTGACGCAACCGAAGTTTCGGTTTCGGTATCTGCTGACGTTTAAATTAGGATTACACAAATATTATTCCACATTTCGCGAATCCGAAGACGTAGAGTTGTTGAGTATTACTTTGTGAATGTGAATCACATGGAAGCCTAAATTTTTCGGAATTGAGCGGAGTTGCCCTTTAAGGAAGACATCAAAAGCCCAGAAAAACATTTCTTTTTTTTGTGCTTGGATAGGACACATGTAGTGTTACAGAAACACGGATGTCTCTAAGAGTCGACATCTTGAAACAGAAGCGCATTTTTAATGCGAAAGCATCAACTGTCCTATGGAGCGAAGAAGGTGTTGTCTGTAGCACCGAAACGAGCAATAAATTCCCATTGGCTGCGACGCACCATGTGCCACTCAAAGTCAAAGCGGTTGCGTCTCACAAATAAAATACAAAGAAAAGCGCAGCAACGGAGATGCTTCGTCCCCGAAGCCGTGAGGCCAGTGCGCCGCTCAAGGTCAAAGCAGACGCACCTCAGAAATAAAACACAAAGAAAAGCACAGCAACGCAGATGCTTCGTCACAGAAGTTGGCAGGGACGCCGTGCCTGCGCAGTGGGGAAGCGTGATGTCACCGCCGGAGCGGCACGTGCAAAAGGAAGACGTGGTGCACTGCCTCCGGCTCTGACAATGCGATACTAAGCTAATGAACGCTCCCGTCAGCATGCAATTAGCGCAAGGTTAGCGCTATGCTTGTAATGCCCCGATGCATGTGTGAAGAGGTCTTTATGCTTTCACATTCCTACATGTAAGCAGTCTGAATCGTCTCTAATTTTTTTTAATCACTCCTAACTCTAAAAGAGTCTCACGATCTAAATACTGCACTCTATTCTTTTTTTTTTCTTCTAAGAAGTACATATTGTTTTATGTGTGTACTACTTAAACACTTAATATTTTTTTAAAAATTAAGTATTGTGTAATTCATTTACAATGGTGCCACACATTACGATGCATCGCTGATAACTATCAGTTTCTAGAGTTTGTAGACTAGGAACAATCAGTTTCTAGCCCAGATACAACGATAATCGCTTAAAAAGAATTAAATTTTGGGTTTTCTTATTATCGTTATAAGTGGATTGCACTGTATTCTATTTTCACACTCTCAAAACACTGTTTTAAACATTTTAGAAGTGGCCGCCTTTCTTGGGTTCCCTATCAAAAGCGTTGCACCCTAGATCTTGACAGCGCAGCTGCACGAAACGGAGACTCACCTCTCGTCCGGTGTAGGCTGCCTTGTGGAGCGGGGTGTCGCCCTCACGATTCACGACGTCGACGTACGCCTTGTGCTAGAAAACGAAAAAGTGCCACTTGGTCACATTTCGCCATCCCAAACCCGACACGGAAAGGAGGCCGAGCATGTTGTGATGCGCTTCCATGTATACAAGTACTATTGCCGTCATTTAACCCAACTTTACTTCACAAGAAGCCTGCTTGTGTGTATTCAAGTAATGTTTGGCATATGTAACCCCCCCAATGTAATGCCGAAAGGCGCTGCAGGTATTGGATAAATAAATAAATAAAATAAATAAACCCCCCTCGTTGGTTATCCTGGACGAGGCAGGAGACCAGAGTGGTTTCTCTGCGGGACTGCCGACTCGGCATTCCACTGAAAGCGGTGCAAAGCATTCGGAATTATTTTCGCTATCGTGATCTCAAATATCGGAGCTTCTAGCATGAATCTCAACTATAGTCACAGACAAGGTGAGAGCGCCGGGGCAACACCTAAAACCCTACGAGCTGGTGGATGTCGACTGTGTTGCAAAGTACCTGAAACTGTGGTGAATGACGGGAAACTTGGTAGAAGAAAAAGGATTCAGGAAAAGGTATGTCTCAAACTCGACTACTGTGTTTCTTTCCTCAAATCCGCCACAAACCTGGCTCCGACAACTGATGTCGCAGCGCCATTCTTCGTTACATATTTCGCCCAACCTTTGTTGTACAGTTTGAATCATTCAAGGTCTTTGCATGGACTCCACAACAGTGACCCAATTTTCGAAATGCGCTTTGCAAACAAAACAAAAAAAAACTATTGCGCCGGGCAAGCGTCTCGTGCTTCCACAACCTGAAAAATGTTTTTTATACTGGCGTCAAAAATTCTGCATAAAGAAAAACTAAGAAAAAGAAAGCACCCACCTCCAAGAGAATCTCAGCCACATCAAAATGGCCAAAGTAGGATGCAAGGTGTAATGGCGTCCAACCCAGGTTCGCCTTCTGCTTCCCTGCAAGACAGATCCTACAGTGATTGGCCACGTTCCAAGATACGCCCAATCGCACTCCGAAATGAAGGTTGCATACCTTGGCATTCGAACGAGCTGCAGAGGGGTGCAAATTCGCTTAGAAGGGATGAATCATACTTTTGGTTTCTAGGCAAGGTGGCGCAAGCTATCGCCCGTTATAAAGGGTACAGCCACTAGCATTCATCTATCCATCCACACTTGCACTTAGGGTTGCTCTGGCCGTGTTCCAAATCTTAACCAAATGGATCCGAGTTACTCCGGTGGGTCGTGTCACGTGACAACACAGATTCAAAAATGCTGGACGCGGGTAGTTTTGTAACGCCAAGGTACAAAAGCCTTAACCTAGAGTAAGATAGAGTAAATTTCGGAACACGGTCTCTATCTCTGCTGTCACGTGACACAATTTTGCGAGAGCAACTTGGATACACTCGAGCAAGATTTGGAAGACAAACTTATGATTGTATCTTAGTCCCACATAAAGACAGATAAGACCAACAGTGTGAAGCCGCCACTCCTGCCCGCAAAAGTAAATCAGCAACACCTGCCACTTTCTTAATTCTGTAATGTTTAGATGTGCTATATGCTCAAATAGTATATAAAAGCATATAGCATGTCAAAACACTATTGTCCTTAGATGGTTCGAGGGTTCTGTGGCGATCATGCAGAATCAGGAAGGACGTACAAGAACCTGGTAGGTCCTTCGTCACGCCTAGATATATATGCCGGACAAATCATGTTCAGGCAATCAACACTTTCTTTTATATATATATATATAATAATTATAAAATGTTATGACTCTTGAGTCGTTCAAACGTAATGCTTCACACGCAAAAATAAGAAGAAAAAAAAAGCTCGACAAAAGACCGAAGTATAAGCACGCCTACTTTTGTGAGCCCATATCGTTGAGCTCTCTCAATGCGCACAGCCTTGATCATAGGATGACCAGCTTGATCATAGAGTGACTAGCCCAGAGCGCACGTCAGACACTGCCAAGCTTGTCTGGCGCAAAAACCAACTGACGGGTAAAACAAACAAAAACTCCAGGCGACAGTCTCGGCGTTGCACTGCCAATGGGTGGACATAGGCAAACTCTGGAAGTCCGCCCCACCGTAGTACCGTACTACCGGTCGACAACAAGCCCCTCGCTCGTCCGGAGTCGAATAAACCGACCTTTGCAGTCGACGTTGAGCGCAGCGCCGTTGGAAGTGCAGCAGCTACCGTTGAGAAGCCCTTTGACGGTTGTGTAGGCACCCGATCGCGCTGCTTGCAGTAAGAGTTCTTCGGGAGGCAAGTCCGACGGCTTGGTGTTGTCTTCGTCGTCTGAGACGATGTTCATGATCGTCATCAGGGCTCGCTCGGCAGATTTCCCCTAAATAATAGAAAAAGAAATACAGTAAAATCGAGGTGGTTGTTTGCAGGTTCGAAACAAATTTTTCGAGTTATACATTGAACTTACCCGAGAGACACCACAAATGTGCGTAAGCGTTGTAAAGACACCACAAATGGATTGTTGCGAGCCGTTCCAGGCTCTACGGGTGGCACCTCCGCCTATTGTCTGAGCGAGACACCTTTAAAGAGACTTCAGATAAAACCCTTGCTAACCTGACCAAATGCGAAATGACACAACAAACGTCACGTGCAAGCGCGCCAGCCCCCTTGTAATTTTTTGTTGTTGTAGGTTGTAGTTCTTTTTTTTTTTAGTTTGTTTGTTTCTGTAAAACCGCCTCGCAGTGACTTGTTTTATTTTATCAACAATATATTTTATATAGTAGTTATTTTTATTTAAAATAAATAATTGATTAATTATTTTGTTTGCTACCGTAATTTTTATGAAAATGTGCAAAGCTATCTTGAGTATTCCAAGTTACTGCGGCCCTATTCATAAAAAAAAAAAAAAAAACTTTCAAAATGGCGTTGCAGCAAGGTAGTCGTGCAGCGAAAAGTCTGGCCAAGTTTCTTCCTAATTTGAGGTGAATCTTTTTTTATTTCTGAGTAGAATTGTTACGCAAAGGCCAAACTATGATGGGATTCGCGCTTTTTATGAATATACGTTTTCTTGACTTCACTAATCTTGCTAGGGGACTTGGCTTTTTAGCCCTAGACGACCTCCTCTGCTGCAAAGGGTCATCCCGGCTATTCGACGTAGTCGTTCCGAATCGCAGAAAGCACCCATAAGAACGCACGAAAAAAACGCACTTGTTAAACCGAAGACGGCGAAAGAAAAAAAAAAAAAAGATAAAACGCACGACGCAAAGCAAAACGTGTTATGCCCGTGTGGAACGCCTCGAACTTCCGACACCTGCGCCACTTGCGTCGGTTTTCACTAGCTAAGCTAAGCGATAAAGTGGCTTTCCTTTCGAGCTGGGTGTTTTAACCTTTTCCTCAGAGCTGGGTCTTAGCAACTCATGCTTGGCATCTTTGGCGGTAAAGTATGTTGCTCCTGATGCATGCAAGCTATCCTCACACCTCGACGGCTACGAGCCGTCGAGGTCCAACGAACAGCAACAAGTGCGCAACGTCGCTTCCGTTCGTCGTCTATCTGCGTTGAGCGACCACCTTCAAATCCCTTCGATCACTGAGAAAGCGCCGTTGCACTCGCAGTCCACGTGCTGGGAACGTTGATCTTAGCCCCTGAGTACGCGTTGTATGTGAAATCTCTTTATTGTACCTCAAGATCATTTTTGGTGAAATAGCGTTCAGTTCGAAGTTGCACAGAAGTTGATTTTTTTGTTTCAGTGGAGTGCGCTTCAGCGGATCTGGAGAATGGGGCAGTGGATCCGGCAAGGCAAGCCCCCGTTTCTTAAATGTCCAGTCATGTGAACAGAACGACTTTCAGGACAGAGGCGTTAATGTTGAACGCGTGATATGTTTTTGACCTCAGTGTAAGGTCAAACATAGAACACGATTGGTTGATGGCCGTGGTGACATTTTTCTCGGCCTTGCTTAACGTTTCACCTTGTGAAATCACGGAAATCGGTACTCAGACCCTGTGTTCTATATGTTACACTTCGTCTTGCAAATGCTTTGCAGCGCTATCACAGGTGAAGGCACCCGAACATGTCTTAACAAGAATACTTCGATTACATAGGCACTTGAGCCAAAAAACCTGTTTCTAAAGCAATAGCTCAATGCGGCATGGGACCTTTGAGATGGACCGTAGCTTTGGATATCTTGTCAGCATCCGACAAGTACCATGCTTGCCAGAGTGCAAGGGCGGACTTACCAATAGGTAGAGTGGCCAACTGCTTAGCGTGGTAGAATTTTGTGGGCGGCCAGTTTGTGGCTGCCCCCAAACTAATTTGCTTTTTCTTTTCTTTATCAAGCTTTGAATTTAGCGATTTTTTGGAATTCTACTTCCAAATCCAGCTACTTTTAAAAAATTTAACTCCATACTTAGCTACTCCCCCCCCTGGTAGGGGAGGTGGGCAGCACTGTTAAAGGCTGCCTGGGTGGCAAAATCCTAAGTCCACCTCTTCCAGAGTGGTATACATAGTTCAGTTCAAACCTCGTTCAACTTCACATGTGCCTGCATCAGATCACGCTGCTCCACTATCCAACCAACGAAAAACGTCTTTGCTCAACCACCTTGAAGGACACTGATCTATGTTAAAAACATTTTCTGTCACTTTGTCTTGTTTCGCCAATGTCTCCAACCAGTCTTTCCTACGAATCTTTCCTGTGTTGCTGCAGCACAAAAGTGGGTTCAGTGTCTGGGTTACTTTCCTAAGAATGAATGTAGTGCAGGGGAAAGTTTCAACATCTTTAGGGATTCAAGTTCTCGTTATAGTGCAGGGGAAAGTTTGAACATCTTTAGTGATTCAAGTTCTCGTGGTGTCTTGTCATCCGTATTGTCACGCCTCACTCGGTCTCTGTGCCTTCGACAGGGCGGTGGCAGCGGCGGCAGCATCCGTGACGCAGGAGGAACCTTCGGCAAGATGGAGGCTGCTCGCGAAGAGGAGTACTTCCGCAAGCTTGTAAGCTCCGGATGATTGGACATGACATGCTGGGTATTTTTTTAGAGTGCAGCTCTTAGGCACCCATTTCCGGCTTGAGCGGCGTCGGCGTAATCGTGAGGTCACATGACCCCCCCTCCCCCCAAGGTCATGTAACACCCCAAGGTCACATGTCCCCCCCCCCCCCCCCCCCCCCGAGAACACATGACCCTCAGTACCTTTCCCTCCTCCTCCTCCTCAAGAGCTGCGCTCTAATTCGGCGTTAGAGAAAGTTGTAAACGGCTTTTCTTCTTTTTTTTTTTTTTTAGGCAAAGGAAGAGCTTTTAATTGCATCAGTATGAAGAGAAAAAAACAAACGGCTGAAACTGATCATGACGTAGATTACCCGAGACTTTAATAAATGAAGGGAACTTGGTGGAAAAAAAAATGGCAGAAAAAGAATGTCCTAAACTCAGCTAGTGCGTTTATTTGCTCAGAGCCTTATATAGCCACAAGCTATTCACCGACCACTGACGTCACAATTTCACCCTTTGTCATACATTCCAACCCACTCTGATCTTCACTTGAATTGTAAACAGTGACCTCAATTCCAAGCTGGAAACTAGGGTTTTTTGAACGAAGCACCCCACCGACCCCCTTTCTTTCCAGCCAGAGTCTGAAAAGGCTGTGCCTTATCTAAACGAGCACTGACAAGTCCCCCCACTGAATCCTTGCCCTCAAAATGACTCATTGCTGTTTTACCTACAACTTACAAAAAAACAAAAAAAAAATTATTAACAGAAACTTTTTGGAACTACTTCCGAGATGCATCGAAGCCTGGCTGATGCAGTTACTTATGGATTTGATACAATTGTCTCTCTTATGAGCCTCCTGTCTAAATGAGGACTTCTCAGTCCTCGCTTACATAAGGCACAGCCTTTTCAGACTCCGGCTGGAAAGAAAAGGGGTCGGGAGGGCGGGGGGTGCTTTGATCTAGAAACACTAGTTCCCAGTTTGGAATTTAGGTCACTGTTTACGGTTCAAGTGAAGATCAGTGTGGGTTGGAATGTATAACAAAAGTTAGCAATGTGACGTTGGTGGTTGGTGAACAGCTTGTGGCTAAGTAAGGTAGTGATGGGCCAAACTTTTGCTGAATCAGAAGTTTGGCGCCGAATCTTGAGATTCGGCAAGGCCAAACTTTAGCCGAACGTCTTAAAAGATTCGGCAAAAATACATTGTTACCAGACTTAATGTCAATATTTAGTTTTTTTCAGGCGAAAAGAGGTTTTATGTTTTTTTTTCTTAACTTAAATGCACCATGTAATGCATATTGGCACAGTTCTCGCTGAAGGTAATTGTATGGGTGCCATTTTTGTGTGTTTACTGGCAATTTTAGGGACTGCTTGCAGAAGGGGCGTGACAACGAGGTTTGTAGCAGGCGTGGCGCAGTCACAAATCACGCTGCAAGAGTTTCGGTTTTGAGGCATTATCAGTGCAAGCCTGCACGTGTGTGTACATTGTTAGAATGAAGGCAATAATGCTGCGTTCTTGGTTTCTCTGGGAGTCACTGTTTTGTGCTCGAAAACGAATGCAATGGTTGCTGAGCCTTCACCAGGAGAGAGTAATATTACTGTAAATATGCATGTTTTTCGATTTGAGTCGCTTGACGTAAGCTTTGCATTAAAGTGTGCATCACACATTCGCAATGTCTCGTTTTTAACCTTTAAAATACCAGTTTCTGGTGTTAGGACGCACACAAACGTTTAGGAAAATAGGGAGAGTTAGGAATGTTGGATGTGAAACGTCGAGCATTATAGTTCTGTGTTTAGTTTGATGCATATATATGAAAATAGCGAAATAACGCTAATTGAAAAAGCAATATTATTTTGTTTTGGCGCACATTACTTTTGAGCCGAAATAGAATTGTTATAATTGCGAGAACGTTGACTGGCAATTACTTTAAGGGCACAGGGTAAGGTAAAATTGAAAAAAAAATTCGATTTTAGTTTTTTTCGCAATTTGAAAAGTTTAGTTCTTTCTGCACATTTTCCATTGTCCCAGTGTTTTTAGAAAGCTATATTTCGGGCTGAAAATCACTTCTTCCGAAAGCAAGTAGCAGGTGACCACGCCTCCTTTTGGGATACACTCCCTGTTTATCGATGAATTCTCCAACAAAACAAAATCAACACAAGACCTAAAAGCTTGTCCAGTAACAGATAATCTCAAAAAATGATTTCGCAACTATTGCATAGCTTTTTTTCAACCAAGACAATGACGAGACGCTGTGCACGTTTTTCCCAGGTGTGTAACGTGTGTACATTCAAGTGTTTGTGTTTTCATAACGACAAAATGGCGCCATTGAATGCTGTTCCTTTATTCAATGGTGGCAGCATTGCACAAGCCAATGTTTTGAAGTTTTGTGGATGGAACCCTGTTTGGAAAGCCATCAAGGGGCTGAGGGAAGTTGACGTCACTCGAATATACTTTACGGACCAAGCGACATGGCAGGTCACAAAAGAGGCCCGGCAAGCAAGGCAATAAGCCTAAAGGCGAAGGCATGACTTTAGCAATGCCTTTCAAGCTGGCGGCTATTGAAAAAATGACTGTAAGGCTGTTGGTGCCAATAGAAATTCGTTATTCACCAGTTTTTTTACTTTAAACTCAATTATCTCAAAACAGTGTTTTTTAGTACATAGGTACCATTTTTTCCTTAACCTGACATTATAAAGGGTTGATTTTTTATTCCTACCACATACATGGGTGTTCAAAAATACTGAACTAAAATTAAAAATGTGCACCTAGCAGTTTTTGAGTTACGAAGTTTTTAATAGATGAAAACAACTAAAATTTCAGTACTAGAATAAAAAAATAGAAAAAAAAACTTATGTTACATTGGTTCAAATAATTCTAGTTCAGTGGATAAAACACAATATTTCGAACAAAATGATATTTACATGACAGGAATACTCCTAATAGTCACCGAGAAAAATGTTCCTCAACATGGCCTCAAATGCATGGGGAGTATAGGACTTACCCTGTGCCCTTAAAGTAATTGTCAGTCAATGTTTCAACTACCTCGTTGCATCACTGGAAATGTCAAATGAAAATCACGTTATCCCGAATGTACCGCATCATTTATCACTTGCGCAGTGGACTGCATAAATTACTGGTCGATCTTCTGTTCTTGAGGCAGAAAATATTGAAGAGAACCACACTCGATCACAAACGCACAGTTACCGTGTTGCCTACTCCACACCTTGCCGTAACCGCTGGTTGTACTACAGTTCACTAGCCTCCATAATTGCACGATGGTAACCACACGACTGCACGGTGTCCATTTGATATCCATGGGACCGTCGTGTTCTCGCGCGTGCGCAGATATTTGTCGAATCTTTGCCGAACTTTCCTTCAAAAGTTTGGCATTTGCCGAACTTTGCCGAATGTGAGGTTTGGCAAAGATTCGGTCCATCACTAATATAAGGCTTTGAGGAAATAAATCTAGTAACTGTGTTTGAGACGTTCCTCTTCCTCTGTCACTCTTCTTCCACCAAGTTCCCTTCTTTTGCCACAGTCTCGTGCAATTTACATCAGGATCAACATCCACCAGCTCGCTCGCCTGCGCACTTCGTTTCTTGAGCTGAAACTGGGGCTCGAAAATGTTGACAGGATTTGGTCTCACTTAATACTGTATCTCAATCGCAGCAATTTCGGTGTGCAGTGCATGTGCAATTAAACAAGATGTGTCTAACCAATCCGTAATCAGTAACTTCTTGCATTGACATGGGAGACATGGTCACTCAACTGCATCACATGCTGTCGTGTCTCCGTTTAAAATTTTTTGCTATGACCGTCTTACCCTGGTCATGTCCCTATTATCAGAATAAGCATATGGTGAGTGTTTGGTACCATTCATGCTTTCAATGACTGCTGTCACCTGTAAACTACTTTAGAGTGACTTGTTCTTGCTTTATACAGCAATAGTTGCATCATAGTCACCTATTTCAGCTGGGGAGGGGGGCAAAGGGGGTTCGGAAGGATGTTTGTACTGTAGAAGAGCATGCACTTAAGCTTGTAGCATAACCGCAAAGAATAACAGTTAGCCACTTGGCAGAGCAATAAGGCTGGTCCACACATTGCGTTTCGTTGCAGCCGAGTGCACTGTGCAGCCTTGGGCTCCTTTTGATTGCTTCCGACACGAGAAGAGCCACGGGCACAATCTGTCGGATATCCCTGGTGGAACACTTGCGATTTGCGTATATCTCCTCATTTTGTTGTGCATCATTTCTTTGCCATAAGTTTCAAAAGCATTTGACAATGCTATAAACAAGCATTTCTCATGGATGGTGCATACATTGGATCTTGCATATACTGCAAAACCTTTACTCTAGTTAAATGCAGTTCCAGGGTTGTCTCACAGATGTCGCCAGCGCGCCATTCTGTTCTCTCATCACAAGGCTGCACAATGCACTCTGTTGTAATTAAACACAAGTGTGCAAACCAGCCTAAAGATGCCCCAAGTAACTGTTTTGGAGACAATGACTGTAGTGTTTTTTTCAAGGCTTGCCTATGTTTGCTTATTTCTTCAGCAAGCTGAGCAGTTCAGCAAGCTGAAGGACCACCTGGAAGAGGAGATAAGTCAGCACGAGAAGCTCATCAGGCAACATCAGGAAGAGATTGAGAGGCACAAGAAGAAGATCCGTGATCTCAAGGAGCACTGAAAGAAGACCAGTCATCGAAGCAGTCCTTTTGTATTTCTCTTTCTTCGACTTTTTTTTGTTCTACGTTACTGGCAAAAGGTCTTGAGAATGCAGCGTGTTTGTAGTTAGGGATAAGTAAAGCCTGAGTGTCTGAACTTTGCTTCCTGGGTGCATTGTATGTCATTCTTTTTTTCATAGCAGGCTTGGCCTTTGAAAAAAGCAGCCTGTTGTGACCTTCCACGGAACTATAATCGAGCTGTGATTAAGAAAATTTGGTTTTGGGCTGTAACGGATGTGTTTCACCTTGGAAAAGTTCCAATTCTGTAATGAGGCCTGCCAAATCAATACTTGGCAGTGAAGGACATGCATCACTACAGTAAAGGTTTGTATTGCAGTTCTACGTGGAGATATTTTGTACTTTGAGGCTAGGATAGGAGTGTTGTGAATAAAGGTTTGTAGAGCTGGATATTGGAAGGTTGTCGCTGAGCAGAGCGTTTAGGAGAAAAGGGTGGGATGGCCGAGCACGCATATTTTTTTATAGCTGACAAGCCTTTTGGTACATTCTTTAAAAAGAAAAAAAATGTAATTAGTTAACAGGCGTTTTTGTCTGATGGGTTCGATATTTTAGACCTGTAACACCTGTACTGTTCCCAATAAAATTTTAAAGCAAAAGTTTAAATTAAAACCTACTGCTAGGTGTCGCAAGTTGCCACCCAACTTGGATGCCTTTGTTAAATTGATATATCTATACGTATTTTCAATGCTTGCCTCCATTGCTTTATTTTTTTTTACCATCAAGCGTTACTCTGATTACTCTGATGCGGCAAAAATCTGAATACCGAACGCATCGTCACATGACGTCACGAACCGTCATGGCGCGCGATTTTGTGCAAGTGTTCCGATCGTAATGAGCTCCGTTCAACTCCTTGCGTTGCGAACGAACACGAACGAAACGACCGCTTGGCGCTCCGTTGCCATGGCAACTCGTCGTTCCAAGCGGTTGCATTCGTTCGTAAGCATAGTGGTCGCTCCGAACGCTACTGTGTGAACGGGCCTTAACCATCGTAGTGCAACCAATGCCAACCATATGAAATGAGTCAGTAAACAGAAACAAAGCCAAAAGTTAAACAAGTCCATATTTCATATTTCAAAGTTACATTATGCCTTATGTAAACATTGACGACCCGTCGCGAAGCGAAGCGATCGCTCGCCTTTATCGCGCGTAGAGAACAGAACAAATAATGGCAAGTTCTGCGAAGCGATTATAATAGATATAGATATTCCTATCGTCCCGATGGCTTGGAAACAGTTGTTACGTTGTCCGTATCGAGCGAGTCGTGCCAGGATGAAGAGCTTGCTGGCTGTGAGCGCTGCAGCGCTCCTCTTGCCCTTTTATATGGTGTCATCGTTCGGCAGCAGGGAACACGACCGACTGCCACTTGTCGTGAACACTTGGGGTTTCTCCAATGCGACGCTCCGAGGTGATCATTCCCATGTCGTGCTAGGTCAGGTCTACCAGGACGTAAAAATAGTCACCAGGCAGAAGCCCGGCTTTTCGATATATGTTATGTTTGGTGAGGGCTACCCCTGCTAACAGACAAATAAAACCGATTTAGCAGAATAGACTCCTCCCACAAAGTCCCACCCCCTTTCCACTTTAACAGACCAAACGCTGGAGAGAGGGAGAGTCGGAGAAGCAATTCGCATATCATGGAGAGTAGAGAGCTTTCCAGGTCTTTCCAGTTTCTGCTTCCTCTGTGTTGCAATTAGCTATATGGAGCCACTGTTAATGGCTCTAGCTGCGACAGGTGTTGTGTACATATTTTACGAAGTCATTGTAGGCTATGGAACGTATGCTCCAGATTGGAACTCCTTTTAATAGTGTATCAGTGTGTCCAGTTTTGAGCGCTGACAGGAAATAAAAAAAAAGTGGAATTTCCGAAAGTCAAGCACTCCTTAACTCGGAAACCTCCTAGAGTGGGACCACCGAGTTGACCATGTTCCATGATAAACGCACAGAGGTGTCTTTAGGTGGTGCATTTATCGTACTGAAATTTTATCTACAGGTTTTACATGCAAAGAAAAAAAAAAGTGTTATTCCTTAGGCACAGAGAGGAAAACGGGAACAAACTTCTGGTTGGTGTTGCCCCTCACAGATGCCGCCAAGGCAGATGTGAAGTCATGTGGTGCCATCTGCGAGTAGCGGCGTCAACCAGACGATTTAGTACCGTTCTTCTTTCTGCGCATATCGGAGCAACGTGTTTCTATTTTCTCATGATTTTTTACAGAGACATACACTCACTAAATTTGAGTATGACAGATGCACCACCTAAAGACACTTTTTGTAAAATGCCTAGTTGCACACCATTCATTGGCTTATTTATGGTGCTTTTTTTACGACTGACTAGCTCTTGAGAACACACTGTATAACCCACCGCCCCGAGTCTGACAGTGGTCCGAGTTGGAAAGTGTTCGCTGTACCCTGCAATCGCCGTCCCCACACCCAGCCTGGACCGTGCTGATGGAAAAGAATGGTACCGCCCTGGATGCTGTGGAGGAAGGGTGCATGCAGTGCGAAAGAGACCAGTGTGACGGCACCGTTGGTTTCGGCGGGAGTCCCGACGAGGACGGGGAAACTACGCTGGACGCACTCATCATTGACGGGTAAATGTCGGTGCCCTCCAGTTCCTATTCCCGTGAACTACCGCACAAGTCAAATGGAGCGTTGGCCCTTTGAAGGGACCGTACGAATAGGCCCTTTTCAAAACTCCGTCGGGCAACGTCGGCGGTCGCCATTTCTCGGAAATGAAGCATGCGATTGGATCTGAGCCCTTGCCGAATGTCCACGCAGCACTCGTGGCCCTATACGGGCTGAGCAGAGTTCACGCCGAAAGCCGACGCAGCCCTCATGTTGATTACGTGCTCAGATTATGCGATCGAACTGTGGCATACTCTGATCATTCGTGTAGCAGCTATTGGATGGCGGGCATTTTAGAAAAGGGTACGTTAGTTTCTTAACAGGTCGAGCCAAGATTTCATACGGGGCTGCAACAGCTTCTGACATTTTGCCAAAATAGCCTGACGTAGAATTTTTCTTGTTGGTTCTGTGCCGACTCTGTCTGTTTTATTAGTAAAAATAACAAAATAATGTGCTACACAATAAAATCTTGCACCACACTTTGGCTCGAAGGTGTCTTCTGCTATCGGTAATTGGTGTCTGCGCCTTCGCTCTTCTTTGCCTTCATCTGTCGGCTGTTGCATCAGTTGGACGCCTCTTAGCAGACGGACGCCGTAGGTAGTGAAATCAGGTTCTTGATTTGTTACTCTCTACCAACAAGGTAGCTCTCTACACAAGTAAGCTCGCTCTTTAAAATTTTGATGCTCAGAACGCACTATCTCCAGCCGCTTCTGTACAAAATCTTAGCGCAATGCTTTGGGGAACCGATTTTTGCAGCTCCTTCAAAAGCCCAACGATGCATTCGACTTGCGGGGCAGAACCAAACTTCAATGCGGCTCACGTGAGCCCATGGAAAATGCAGTGTCACGGTGCACCTATTCATAGTTCCGTCTGGGACAGAGACGAGAAGAATGCAGTGACATGGCATGTTAATTTTTGGTGCATCGTAAACTGAAGCGAATATGTGTTTTTCAGGCCTACCTACTCCATGGGTGCGGTGGGTGCGCTGCGCAGAATCAAGAATGCCATCTCCGTGGCACGCAAAGTTATGGAGCACAGCCAGCATACGTTCCTAGTGGGAGACCAAGGCAAGTTGCACGGGTTTCTTTGTGCGCTCTCTTCTCATAAGTAATTGAACTAAAGAAACAAACTTGAGCCCATGGTAAAGTTTCTAAACCTGTAGGAACCCGTTGGCTCTTCAAGACGCACTAGCATCCCCACTAGTACAACAGAAAAGCAAACACCGTTTGTAGACATGTCAGGTTGGCAACTTTTTAATGAGTGAGCGTCACCAAATATAGCCACGAAAGGACATGTGTGCAAATGCTAGCTAGGGTTGCAAGAAAGCTTATTTTTCGCCTTGTTGATGGACAGAAATCGGTGTTTGTTGCCCCAGTGGGAATAAAATGGAAAGTTTTGGGAAAATCGAAGGCATATTATCAAATACTATTCACAGTTCCACCTCGGGTAGTTGTTACATGTTGGGGAGGAACAATTACTTGATGGAGTTGGTTTTTGACTGTCCTTTGAAAATGTGATTGTTAATTCTCTGTGCAGCCACCCAGTTTGCAGTGAGCATGGGCTTTCAGGAGGAGTCGCTGGCTACGAAGCACTCGAAAAAGATGTGGGAAGATTGGAAGCACAACAAGTGTCAACCTAACTACTGGAAGGTGAATGTCATCCATACTTCTGGCTCATACATTTAGGAAGTCTCACAAAACACTTTTACAATGTATTATGCATTAATTTTTGCAAGAGGAGCTAAAAGGCATAATTGTTTTTATTTTTCCACAGAATTTTACGAGTACCGTAATACAGTCACCATCTGATTAGTTGTCTGCTGAGCATCGCTAATTGTTTTAGATCTGATGTAGCTTGAGTTTATGAAATTTGACGAGCTCACATTGAAATAATGCAAATTGTGGGTCCCAAAATTAGTACCAGAAATAAATCGACAAGGCACCCATAGCAGAAAAAATATAATAATAATAATAATAATAATCTTTATTTGCACAAACAGGTGATTTCCTGGGGGCGTGCGAGGCGAAACAGAAAGGCGGAAGCCCATACGCTGGTGCGTCTGTTGGCCCAACCCCCAGGAAACGAAAACAAAGTTGAACATAACATAACAAAAAAAAACACGTAATATAAAAAAAAGAAAAAAAATAATAAATGAAGGGGGAGGGGGGAGGGGCTACGCAATTGGTCGCGTTTACGAGGCCCTAGCACGGCCCGAGTGTCTTCAGAGGGCGTCCAAACCAAAATCGCGAAGCGCGCACGACTCCCACCGCTGCGGCGGGGGGCCCTGCCAGGAGGGAGAGACCGAAAAAGGCCCAACACTTCGGGAGGGCAAGCCAGGTCTCCCGATCCCAATCAACCCCCCGCGACAGGACCCCCTCCCTTCACGGCAACAGTCGAGGGCCACGCGCACCCCGTAATCCCGGCCCGAACGCAACTCCCTTACACAATCAATTCCGCGCTCGCGAAAAGGCCCGGCACAGAGGCGCGGATCTCGCCCGGTCTTCTGGGATGGGGAAGCGCACATCCAGGAGTGCTGCGAGGAAGGCCTCGATCGCAGCTGGAAGAAACGTGCGGCTATGGCGAACTGTGCGAGCCCGTAGCTGCTTTTTGTGTAGCCCCGTGGCACAGAAGTCGTTTTACCATTCTGCGATATACTATGAGCAAATTTCCTTTTTTCACCAATATTTATACAGGGTCTCCAAACTTTTTAGATAAGGAGCCGGTTTAGGGGTCTGTCACAGTCTCGAGGGCCGGAAAAATTTGTAATTATTAAAAGAAGAGAAACTAAATAAACAAACCTAGGTAAGCATTTTAACACAAAAATTATTGTTAAAGGAAGTATGAAGAACAGTATCCTAAGGCCCAAGCAGCGCACTTCCTCAGCCGAGGCTTGGGCCAGACTGCCGCGAGCTATATCCAGTTACAGGTTAAGAATAGGTTTCGAGGGAAAGGAAGGCTGGGGAGGAGGGAGCAGACGGAGTGTTTGAGAGAGCAGGAGGTTTCCTTCTCTCTTCTCCAGCATTCCGTTTGCTTCTTCCTCCCCAGCCCACCTTTCCCTCGAAAATGTTTCTTAACCTTTAACTGACTATAGAGCCCACTTGGCATAAACATGGCCCAAGCTTGCACCAAACTGGCCCAAGTATGAGCCGGGGAAATATGCTGCTAGGGGGTGAATGAATGCGTATATATTGTGACCAAGAAACTTCACCAGTCATAAATCAAAGCACATGGGAAATTTTGCACATTTGCCCCTTGCAAAAGACTAATGAGAATGATAATACTAATGCCGACAACAGGCAACAGTTGTGACAAAGGACGCTAAGCAGAACGTACATGAGAACGCAAAAAAATATGAACATAGTTACAGAGACATGAAGCAAGGGACTAAAAATGGTGACGCTGATGACAACGCTCAATAAATTTTATGGTGAGAGGACCCAGATTATAATGCAGTTTCTCTCATACTTCTTGGTATCTTCGTTTGCGCATTCAGAGCGTGTTGCAGCGCCGTTTCTTTGTGTGCACTTCATTTCACACCAGTAGCAGCGGGTCTGTTGGAAGCGGGCCGCGGGTCGGGCTTCATTGGAAGGATCGCGGCCAGCCACGGGTTGGTCGGAAAACTGGAGAACCCTGATCTAGACCACGACAAGTTAAGAACCCATTATTAATGGACGAAGAGCATGTTGGTTTGGGTCAAGGTTGAAGAAAGAATAAACATGTAGGACAAAGACGACACAACCACATCTTTGAACTAGCAACGGACATATAGAAATTCCAAAAGCAAGCAACCGATTAAAATGCGAGAAGATCAAGGGAAGGAAGAGTAACTAAGAAGAGAGAGAGGGGGAGAGAGACAATAAGGTAAATTGGCAAAGCTAGGTAAGATAAAATGCAAAGTTAGGTTTTACCTAACTTTGTATTTTCTTATCGTCTCTCTCCTCTTTTCTCTCTTCTTAGTTACTTTCCCTTCCCTTGATTTTCCCGCATTTAATCGGTTGCTCACTTTTGGAATTCCTATATGTCCGTTGCTAGCTGAAAGATGTGGTTGTGTCGTATTCGTTGCCTTCCACCTGGTTTTGACTGCCCGTGCAACGAAGTGTTATCAAAGGCAGAAAGCTTGTGCTCAATGCGGTGCATCTACCAAGTTCTTAACCTGTCACCAACAAGAGTTCACGTCGTGCTCTTCAGCACAACGTGAATAACGTTTTGCAATGGTCTTTGGCGAATAATTTGCTCCTACATCCTACCAAAACTAATGTTCTTTCTTTGAGCAGACGACACGCTGTTGTGCATTTTACTTACTTTTTTGGAGGAACTCCAATAGAATGCATGGCTGTAATGAGAGATCTCGGTGTGTAGCTTGATAGTTCATTGTTATTTAATGCTCATGTTTCTTTTATTGTTGGCCGTGCAATGAAAACTTTAGGTATTATATCTCGTATAGCTCAAAACTTCAGACACCTTGCTTGTATGATTAGTTTATTTTGTGCTTTAGTTTGTTCACAGCTTGAATTACCCTTAGTGGTTTGGAATTCTCTATCACATACACAGTCTCTAAGCATTTAATCGGTGCAAAAAAGAATGATACGCATTGTATATGACGGACACTTCCAACATCACTTTTATTATGATTATGAATTTCTTCTTACTAGTGTTTTACTTAGGTCTTTGTCACATTGAAGATTCGAGCATGATTTAATTTTTTGCATAGGGTGAAAAATGGTAGGATTGATGCAAACCTACTTCTGAATTCTGTTGATTTTCATGTTCCTTGTCGCGTTATTAGAAATTTGACTGTCTTTTACGTTCAATCCATGACTAGGTTAGCTCTCACCACTGTCCCATATGCAAAATTCATTTAATAGAATCGCATCCTCTAGCTTGGACATTTTCATGCATCCCTCAGTTTTTTACCGGGGCTTGGAGAGTCTAGTTGAAAGTTGATACTGTACTACATTTTGTGTGAAGTGTGTCCACTATTTGTAGTTGGGTTAATTTTGTACATTTGATGCTGTGCGTGTATTATGTTTCTTCTTTTACAGTGGAGCTATTAAGGGCTAGTTACCCCAATTTCTCGTTCGTGGACAAATAAATCTCGATACAACCCTCTGGATAGCTACTGCCATCAATGAGCGACGGCGGCCACCAAACAACCGGCCTGCCGGTTGTCTGGTTGCTGCTGCCGCTCACAGATGGCGGCACATAGTACAGCTCTGCTGCTCTTCCTTCTTCACCGGAGTGGGAAGGCTGAAAATTGTTTTTATCTTCTTGTGTGCGCCAATCCGAAGACCTGCATGGTTGTTTTGGGGCACATAAAATACACAATATTATTATTACTATTAGTATTATTATTAGAGTAGTTATGCTTATGCTACTGCAGGGTTTATATGTGCATAATCAATTTGGCCCAGTCAGTTTCGGAGCTGTGAGCAGACATTATTTGAAGTCAGGCTCACGGGATTATCTAAATTTTGATCCTAGTATTTGTCTGCTTTCAACGGCGCTTCCGTCAGCAGTAGCTTACTCAAACCTTACTTGAAATCTTGTTCTAGAACGTCGTTCCAGACTCGACCACAGACTGTGGTCCGTACCGGCCACGACCGAGACGGGTGGTTTCGACCGGCAGCCGAGCAACGTTGGCAGACGCCTCGAACCACGACACAATTGGCATGGTTGTCATTGACGCGGCGGGACGCCTTTCTGCCGGCACATCCACCAACGGAATGAACCACAAGATACCTGGGTATGGTTGAGTCACTGCTTACAGCTTTTGTTTTGCTCATTACCATATTTTTGAAAAAATTACCGTATTTGGCGTAGGTGGGACAAGATAAAACTTGCCACAGATTGTGGTATTTAAGGCATGAACTCAATATAGCTGAATTGTATGGGTAATGTCTTTTGAAGTTAAGCAATTGAACCAAATTACCGAGATTGTTTTCGGGGTGGCCCTAGCAAAGTGCTACTATACAGGGCGTTTCCGGAAATGCTAGCCAAATCGCACCTGCGAGAGCTACACAAGGCACAGAGAAGAAGGTTAATGCTGTAGTGGCTTGTGCCAAAGGACCCATTAAGAAAAATTATTAGCATTCAGTGTTATTAGGTAATTCATTAATTTTGAATAATTAAATTGTTAATTATTAATATTAAAGGCATGGTTTCAATTAGATCTTGCTGGGCTTCATTGAAAGCTACTAAATGCAGCCACATTACAACGATATAAGGCACGCTCAGCATTTTACGGTGTTCCAAAGAAAATGCTTAACTCTTTCCTGACCGCGCCCATAGGCCATCGATCACCGGTAATCGATGGTTACCAAGCGCCATCAAGAAATTAAATATAGTGCGGAGAATTATGTTCCACAATCTCGTGGATAGCCGAAGAACTCTAGTTTCGGTTTTAACATAGGTTTAAGCTTTATCACAAGCTGGTGGGCTGTCACAAACAGTCTTGGGAACCGTGGTTGCACTTGTCCAATATGGCTAACTGCTTGCATCAGTCTTTGTAACAAAGATGGCATTATTTACGTAATTCAACTGTATTGCAGCATATTTTTTAGATCTCAAGAGCTCTGTGGACACTTTAACTTATGTTATAGGTGTCGTTTAACAGGTGGTTGTCGGTGAGCATCACTATAATTTCCAGTGCTGTCTTAAGCCGATGTGCATGATTTATGTTCCCAACAAGGCGCACTAAAATGCTAAATATGAGGGAACTGCAATCAAGACTATGACAAAACCAAGGTAGAACACTAAGAAAGCATTCTGCTGGGGATGTGAGGTGTCCTATCTTTGTTTCACCAATACAAGCATTCCTCTGTTGAAAAGCACACGTGTTAGGTAGGCTAACTTATTGACGAACAGAAAATAGACAATTTCAGTTAGGGTACACTAACTTTCAGAAGTAATAGCCATGGACGTGGGGCACATTTTCTGTATTCAGATTTTTCTTATTTGTCGTTTAGTTTCACATATCTGTAGAACTTTCGGCGTTTAATGCTGTCTGCACACCGATTATATTTTCCAGAAATAAAATTTGAAAATCTCTTTCACAGATTTTACCAACCTTTGTTTCTCTTGAAAGAACAACTAATTGGTCACATTTCGATGTGTCATATTGCTCCATACGCAAGTTACCTAGCAAAATAAAAGCGTTGGCACGGATCCTTTGAAAATTGCTTTTTTTCCCGTGGTCAGGAAGGAGTTAACGGACGCATTTCTAGGTTTTGGTTTGTTTATTGGAGCAAATCTCCGTATGGCCAATCCCGCCCCCATGTCTAAAATGCGCAACGAGTGTGCTCTGACACGGATCGCATGTAAAGGTGCATCTGCACCCTGACACCAACAACAAAAAGGCAAGCCTCATCTGACTGTCTGGAGGCTTTCTCATCTAGCCTCCTCTACGTGCGATCCGTGGCATAGCACGATTGTTGCACGTTTTATCCACGGGGAGCGGGATCGCTTGCACAGAGAAGCGCTCCGATAAGAAACCGAAACCCAGAAATGTGTCCAAATTGAGCATCTTTTCGGAATGCCGTAAAATGCTGCGCATGCCTATTATAATTGTGACATGGGTGTATTCAGTAGTTTTCGATGATGCCCAGCAAGATTCTAATTGAAACTGTGCCCTTAAAATCAATAATGAACAATTTAATTACCCAAAATTAATTAATTACCCAATTATGCTGAAAGCTAATAATTTTCCATAATGGGCCCTTTGACACACGCCACTACGGCATCAACCTCTTTTTCTGTGCGATGCAAAGTTTTTGCAGGAGCGATTTGACACGCTTTTCCGGAAGCACCCTGCATTAATAAACCATTTTCTTTGGCTTACTTGCCTTACGAGGGATGTCGTGGTTTTGGCCTGGTGCACCTTTTACATCACAATGCCTTTACTCTGCAAGAACTTTAAACGAGACTATTTTGGCCCCTTAAATACGAGACCTACTGTATTTACTTGAGTTATAGCCGCACTGTTTATGAAGAAAACCTGAGGGTTCGCTTTTCTGCGGAGCACGCGGCTTGCCAATCACCACGACCGGCAGCATGATTCCAGCGGCTTACAGGACAGAGATAATGTCTTCGCGCAAAGATTTGTATGGAGAATCGTGTTCTCTATTTGGTTATTCGCTATGTTATTTACGCGCAACGCAATGATTGGCTGTATATGTGTTCTGCGGTAAAGTAGATGCAAGGGCCTTGTTCACAAATAGTGTGGCTATTACTCGAGTAAATACGGTATTTCATGACAGAAAAGTACTCCTAAACATGCCATAGATGTGAAAGGTGGCATGAAAGCCGTCCTGAAGCTTGGGATAAGTTACAACACCTCGAAATTCTATATTATGTGTCTTATGCAACGAGCCTATTTACAATGCTTATGTGAAAGTGCTGTCAATGGTGCTATCTACAAGAGATGTCACCAAGGAAGCCTCACCGGTTTGCAGGCGTGTCGGCGACTCCCCAATCCCCGGTGCCGGCGCTTACGCCGACCAGGAAGTGGGTGGTGCCGCCGCAACGGGCGATGGCGACATCCTCATGCGCTTCCTTCCAAGGCAAGCATCAACAATCTCTTTTTTTATTTCCATAGATTGCCGCGGTTCTGGGGCATTTAACTGTGGCGGCAACAATACGCGAGGTGTTTGGAAACATTAGCTTTCGGGATTGCCCTTCGAAGGATGTCGGTTACCGAAAATACTGAGCAAGCACCTGCGCAAGAGTTGGAGATGATCCGCCCCAAAGAAAGGGGATGGACGCCTGTTGGGTCTGAAAGCAAAAAAACAGAAGGGGTGCACGGTAGTGCAAGCCTTTGTTTGATCTGACGGGATGGTATGGGAGCAGTACAGGAATGTGGTAGAACCCTCATTTTTAGAACAGCTGCACCTTTCTTTTTTAGCCCACTTTGTGCCAGCGCCTCCCGTCGAGTTTTACCGCATCGCGCTGACGCATCTGCGTAAAGGACCGCTCACATGCCTGCACTTGCTTAGGACCGAGTTCATGCGATCTCTTATGACGAGACAATGCGGTGGCACCATCTATGAGCTGACCTTGGAACTGCATTTCACTAGAGCAAAGGTTTTGCGGTACTCGTGGAATGATACATACATACCATCTATGAGGAATGGTCGTTTTATAACATTCAAAGAATTTTTGCGACTAAAAAACAAAGAAGAATGTGCAAAACAAAAAGGAAGTACAATACAGAAACTGGAAGTGTTCCGCGCCTTTCCAATAAATGACGCTCTTTGCACTGGCTTCACGGTGGAGCAGCTGGCACAGAGGAGCACCTCAGCTCAGCGGGCTCAGAAGTTTGGTGCAGTGGGCGCTTGATATGTCTTTTGCCTAGGTATATTTTCAGACATCTCAGAAAGTAGATGGTGGGCACCTTTTGCGACGTGGATGCATGTGCTCAGTATTTTACGGTAGAAAATGGTATCTCTTTCTGAATGTTTAAGGGGAGATGCTGCTCTTTGAGGCAAAAAATACAATAAAAAACAATGCATTCTTGAAATTGTGTTTTTGAAGATTGACAGGCACTTCTCACCTTGCCCTGGAGTAGTTTCGTGAAATAACTTTTACCTTAAAATATTGACTTGAATACATAAAAAAGGATTTGTGTATGCTTTTTGCTATCAATTCAGAATGAACTATTTATACAGTTTGCTGTTTTATGGAAGCCATGGGTCTCCACTTGCACACATCCAACCTTAGTCATTTTTTACTTTCTCTGTTAGGTGTATGTGCGAGATATGCAATAAGGGGTATAAATATATATGACATTGGGTTTCTTTTAGATGCCTTTTATACTTCCTGCAACAAATAATCTTAAAACTGGAAAATTGAAAAGTTTAGTAAAAACTCAAAAGTCATCCTAGAGCTTTCATTTATAGCTTACTGTACTTCACAGACCCTTCAGTTTACTGAGATATATGTTTATTTTCTGATTTCAGTACATTTCAATTTGTCTCAAACCTTCTCATAAATCTTTGCATAGTAAACAAAACTAATTAGACTCAGTGTTGGGTAAAGTGCACCTACAAAGTACTTGAAGTAAAGTACAAAGTGAGTGAGAGGTCACATACTTTAAGTAAAGTAGTAAGTACACCGGGTGCAATGTACTTGAAGTAAAATACTCTAAATACAGTGTACTTTTCAAAGTAAAGTACAAGTACTTTTTTTACACAATGTTTCATGGTACACCTTTATTCTCCTATTTTTTAAACTGGTATGCATTGACCCAGGGGTAATCAGTTGTCCATCAGTTATTTTTGGAAATGGAGGCGAATATTAGATAATGTCAAATTTCCACAGGGTAGTTGTTTTACTCTCGCTGGCAGGCTGTTTCACACAATAAGCTTATATGGCACTTGTTTGTATCAGTCTTAGAGCCATCATTAATTTCCTCAGAGAAAGGACTAGATGAGCTATGTGTCGTATACTCCTGTTTCTAGTGAGAGTAGGATATCTCTCCCAGTAAGTTGACAGAGCATCATTTTGTCAAACAAATTTAACACCAAGTTTGGGTGCTTTACTTTGAAGTCAGGAGTTTTACTTTCCTCAAAAAGTACCAGAAAAAAAACAAAAAAAACTTTGAGTAAAGTACAAGTAGATTACTCATAGAATGTACTTAAAGTAAAGTACAAGTTTTCTAAACCTACTCGAAGTAGTAATTTAAGTACAATGTACTTAAAGTACTTCCCAACACCAGAGTGTCGAACCGAAATTTTTATCTGTTCGGTTACGGTTCGGGTTCACGGCTTTCGGTTCGGTTCCGGTTCAGTTCCGGGGAGCCAAAAATAACGGTTCAAACCGGTTCGAACCGGTTTGAACCGCTAAATTGAGAATATGTTTTCCACGTTGTTCTGGCCATATAGAGTATTTACGCCGTAAAAGGGTTAAATCTTGAGATTCTTCGATCGTCCGTGCAATTTACTTTTGTTTTTAGGTACCAAAATATGAAATTTGGTTATTTAATTTTGACGCAAGAGTAGAAGAAAATCTACATTAACGCACATAACGTCGTGTTCATACGACTCGACATCCCTTTGTTTACCAGTAACACATATTTTACCTGAATCAAAATGCTTAAGTACAAGAGTGAAGAGGTGAGCTTGTTGGTACATGTGGAAATAGATCGGCTTGAAATTTAGAACTATTCTGCATTTTTTTGTCCTTTCTTCGTGTTTAAGTAGAATTCTAAAGTTCAATGGGATTTATTTACACGGTATAAAATATTGTCGCGAAGTGTGGTAGGTCGCCTAAAATACCCGTGATTGATACAACTTTATGTCGCAGTATTAAAAGTGAAATTGTGATTGTGTCTTTGAACCAAGGAATTAAATATATCACATAAAATTATAAAATGAGCACCTCGTGGCCATATATATTACCAGATATTGTTTACGAAATACACTTCACAATATATACCGTATTTACTCGCACAATGAACGCACTCGCGTAATGAACGCACCCCCCAAGTCGGCTCTCAAAATTTCGACTTTTTTTTCACTCGCGTAATAAACGCACCCCCAACTTGGACGTCAAAATTTTGACCCCCTCCCCCCACGCGCGCGAAATGAACGCACTTTTCTATCCTGGTGCAGCGAGGTCGCGAATGCATGGGCAGCGTGTGCGAACAAAGCGCTTTGCAAAAGGCGTTAAAAAAATTCGCAAAGATCCAACGGAAGCAAGAAAAAAAAAACATGGAGAAGCTTTTTTCTTTTGCACAGCGCAGTCTGGACTTCGGGTTCGCGCGCCGCCGCGCGCAAGGAGGTAAGAAAGAGAAGCGGAGAAGCGCTCTAAGCGAACGAAAAAGCTTGCGAAAAGCGGCAAAAAGAAAAAAAAAAACCCGCGGAACTAAGAGAAAACAAAAACAAAGAGGAGCTTTTTTTTCTTTTTTTTTGCACAGCGCAGTTTGGTTACGGGGGTCGCGCGCCGCGCGCAAGGAGGTAAGAAAGAGGAGCGGAGAAGCCCTCTAAAGCGCGATCCAAACCAACGCTTCTTTTTTGCGCCTGTAGGTCGTGCGGCTGCGGATGTGACGCATTTTCGTGACGTCGCGCCGCTTCTTCGCTCCTTCCGGGCGCGCACAAGAAAGTTGGTTGATTCCAACTTCTTTCTCAACGCGCACAAAAACGCGCGGTGACGTAGTAGGACGCTCCTGTGTCCCGGCCAATCGGTGGAGGGCAAGCTAGTTCCGGCTCCGCGTTTCTCGCCGTCTGGCTGCCCTCTCCTCCCCCCCTTTTATTCTCTTCCAACATGACAACGCGATCTCTCTCTCTCTCTTTCTCTCGCCGTCTGGCCGGCCAGTCTGTCGCAGTTGCACCTTGCTTGTGCGCTCGTGCCTGCGTGCGCGCGTGCGCGCTCGCCCGAAGTTTCGCCCGTCCAAACCAAAGCGCACGGTTCTGACTCAGAAAGCGCGCCCGGAAACAGCAAAAACGCCACGAAATGCGTCACATCCGCAGCCGCACGACCTACAGGCGCAAAAAGAAGCGTTGGTTTGGATCGCGCTTAAGCAAACGAAGCAGCTTGCGAAAGGCGGCAGAAAAAAAAAAAAAGAACAACCCACGGAACTGAGAAAAAAACAAAAGAAAAAGAGAAGCTTCTTTTTTTTTTCGCACAGCGCAGTTTGGTTACGGGGGGGGGGGGGGGGGGGGGGGGTCGTGCGCCGCGCGCCGCTCGCAAGGAGATAAGAAAGATTAGCGGAGAGTCCTCGCCCAAGCAAACAAATCAGCTTAACAAAAACGGAAAAAAAAAAAAACTGAGGGACTAGCAGAAAAAGAAAACAAAGAGGAGTTTTCTTTTTTTGCACAGCTTAGTTTGGTTACGGGGTCGGGCGCCGCGCGAAAAGAGATAAGAAGTTGCTTCGATTTTTCAGGATAAAAGGTCCGTTCATTATGCGAGTAAATAGGGACACAAAAATTTTACTTCGCGTAATGAACGCCCCCCCTAACTTTGCATCGATTTTTCGGAAAAAAAGTGCGTTCATTCTGCGAGTAAATACGGTATGTATAAGATGACGACACAACTTAGCTAAAAGCAATGCAATTTTCAAAATGTCACATCAGTTTTAGAATAATTCCTTTCGGACATTTTTAATAGGAACACCGAGCGGCAATCAAACTGCTTGTTGTTCTAACCAAACACTGTTTACACTCAGTACCGTATGCATGCGACTAATCATGCAGCAAGGAGTAACCGCAATTTTTCACCCTAATCTATACGCACTTTCGCACTCCGATCGAATCTGGCCCAAAATGGCGCTTGTCCAAATTAACATTTTCTTATACAGGAGAAGCTGGCATAGCCTGGCTGTTGAGGTTTGTTCTTGACAAGATGCCGCTCAATTTAATTAGCAAATGAGAATCACCCTTGCTAATTGATGACTTTAACGCGGTAGTGTTAAGGAGCTCATGTCGCAGAAAACCCAATGTCGGTGGCGTGACTAGAAAATCTTGGTTGGTCGATAGGCTGATGACGTCAGAGCTACATGTCCTCACGCAAGAATTTCAAACAACCCACAATGCTCATGTGAAACGTAACATCACGCGTGTAATGA